CCTCAATCCCCTCGTTCTTTTGGGATACAGCCCCGCCACATGGCCAGGCGCCATGAGCACAGAGGCGAGGGGATGGCCCCAGAGGACAGGGTGCCGAGATGGGCACTTGGCCCAGTCTCAGGCCATCTGCAGCCAGGCCTGAGCCCAGGCGACCCCGACTAACGCCGGCCGCGGGGCAGAGGCTCACACCAAGCACACTTCCAGTAAAAGCAAACATTCTGGCACTCTCGATGAGCCCGACTCCGAGTCTAAGGACCGAGGGACAGGGGCCTCCTCTCTGCCTTCTAGACGCCGGCAGGACGTCGCCCCCACCTGCTCACAGCTTCTTAAACTCATGCACTGAGAAGTCCTTGTTCCAGGATGATTAACTGTCTTGCCCGCAAACCCGTCAAACACACCTCGATTCCATCTCCTCCCATATTCAGGAATCCCTGGTTCAAGGACTTAACAGCCCCCTCCAGTTGTGGGGGCTATAACATCGGCCCTGGTGGGCCCTCCCTTCCCTCCAAGCACACATATTCCACGGGCCAACAGGGCCAGCCTGGAGCTCTGCTCAATGTCACCCGGCACCATGGGGCCGAGGACCCCGGCCGGCTCTGCCCCAAGAAGCTTATGGCTGGGTGGGACGGGGGTCATGGCAAGAGCCCACAAAAGCCAACCAGTCCTGGGAAGGGGAGCCCAGAGACAGGGCCCCCCTGCGAGGAGGAGCCCAGACAGACAGACAAGCAGGAATTAGAGATCCACACCAGAACTCACCCCAGCCCCACCCCCACCATGCCCACCATCTCTCCCCTGGGGACCGGCTCCTGGCCCCGCCCTTGTCCCCATGACAGCAGAGGAACCCTATCAAATTCCCCCTTCACTCCTGGGCTCAGAGAGCCAGCGAGGCTCCCCCTCCTGGATATACCAAAGGCCTAAGGCCGTTGCTGACGGGCCTCCTTGCCCCACGCCTGGTCCTGCCCCCACGGGGCTCCCTCAGGACTGGGACAGGGCCCCCCAGGCTGGCACCGAGCTCCTCATGTGCAAGCCTGACTCTGGTCGAAGAAACCCCACAGGAGGAGATGGATCTGCCTTGTGAGCCCAGGAACCTCTGCACCCCACACACAACGCATACCCAGAAACATTTACCAAGAAGTCAGTGAAACTTCTGTCGCCGAAGCGTTCGCACCGCACCTCCAGCTTCCCAGCTCCTTAAAATCAATTTTACCGATTACGCCTCCAAAGCCCCTTGGAATCGACAGAACAGGCGACTGAAAGGGGACCACGAAGCTTTGGGGTGTCTGATACTTGAACAGAATCATTCCCGTTGCCCAGAGACAGGGACTCTTCACACCTGGGTGGTGACAAGGCGAGACGCTGGGTCATTCCCTACAGCGACCGGCCCCAGCAGCCACACGCCTCACTGCAGGCCGGGGTCAGGACGCACGGGGTCTGGTGAAAGACACAGGCCACCCACTGCCTGGCCTACCCAGGAGGAGAAAGGCCCCCAGTGCCATGGCTGCCACACCTGCCTAGCAGACACACAGACAAGACGGTTCGCGAGGTGGCCGGCCACAAACTCCATCCCTCCCCAGTCAAAGCCAGCTTCCGAGGCAATGTACCCGGTGCGGGTGAAGGCCGGGTGGGCTGACAAGGTGCCCCAGCCCCAGGAGATGGGGGGCCACGCGGGCTCCTGCCTTCCTGGCTGACCGCACTTCCAGCCCAGTCCAGCAGAGAGGCCTCCCTGGGGAACGCCAGGACAGCAGCTCAGGGTGCCCGGGGCTTCCTGCAGAGGCAAACACACCCTGGGAGCAGGCTCTGCCCCTAGAATGGGGCTGCCCCAACCACGCCCTGGCCTGGGGACACTGCTGCAGTCCTCCCAGCAAAGTCGGGGCCGCTGTGAGTGTGGGTAACCAGAGAGACCCTTCCCAGTCCTCCCAAAATAAGGTGCCCTGGAGAGACGTGAGGGATCACAGGTGGGACAAGACGGAGCCCGTTATTTTAACAGTTATGTTTATTTTTACAGGTACTGTCTGTAGCGAGTTCCACTAATGTGCTATTTCAGGGTATGATACGAAGTTTCCTTCTAAAAGAAATATTCAGGAGACTGAAATGCACCATGGGGTCCTGGAACAGAAAAAGGGCAGCACAGGGAAAACCTAGCTAAATAACCTGCTAGGGCCTACGGTTTGGTTAACAGCCCTGCCCCCATGTTTTTGCCTCAGTTTCCATGCTTGTAGCATGGTCTGGGGAGGTGCTAACTTCAGAGGAGGCAGGGTGACGCCTACAGGAACACAACCATTTTTGTAACTCTTCAAGTCCAAAATTCTCTAAAATAAAAAGTTATAAAGTATTTAAACTTTAAAAAAATGAGTCGAGGGGGTGCCTGGGAGGCTCAGTCGGTTAAGCGTCCAACTCTTGATTTTTGGCTCAGGTCATGAGTTCAAGCCCCATGTCAGGCTCCGCACTGGGCATGGAGCCTGCTTAGGATTCCCCTCACCCCCTCCCTCTCTCTGAAAACAATAAAATAAAATACAATAAAATACAATAAAATACAATAAAATACAATAAAATACAATAAAATACAATAAAATAAAATACAATAAAATAAAATAAAATAAAATAAATAAAATAAAATAAAACGATAAAATAATAAAATAAAATAAAATAAAATAAAGCAGAACAAAATAAAGTAAAATAGTCGAGCTGCTGAACACAAAGTAAACGAGAGTACAGGGGGACGTGGATCTGGAAAGTCTGGGTCAGCCAGAAATACCTGGAGACGGGGCAGCACAGGGATCATCACACCTTCCCATTACAGAAGAGGGGTCCATGCAGGGGTGGGGAGGGAGGGCCACACATGGCCCAGGCCCAAGCCCTGACCCTGTGTGCCCCATCTCGGCACCTGCCCTGAGCCATCTGGGAAAGCTACAGTCTCAGGGCTCACTCCTGCAAGGGGCCCTTGATTAGATGCACAGAAAATGTGCCCACGGAGGGGGAAAAACACAGCCCCTTGCAGACCCCAGGGCCACCCCATGTGGGTGGAAATGAATCTGGGCTGATGAAATGACCTGTGCCTACGTTGGATCAAATCAAAGACCTCCACTGAGAACTGAGAAATAAAGAGATAAGGCTTACCCAAACGTACCTCTCCCCAACTCTGCCCTGGCCAGTCCAGCAGACGCCGCCCACCAGGCACGCCAGCCCTCAGCCCCTCTCCCCTGCCTGCCCTTCACACCAAGTCTCAAAGTCCGGTTCAGACCTCACCTGCCTTCCCAACCCAGTGGAGGGGGCCCCTGGGCAGCCCAAGGTCCTCCCAGGCCTTCCCCAAACCTGGGCACCCAGGGAGCTCAGCAGGCCCCGGGTGGGGTGGGGGAAGAAGGGGAGGACCCCCCACATGCAGGGCGCTCGGGGTCAGCTTGCCATCACCTCTGGAACTGAGCAGCCCTGAAGGATCAGACGGCAGCTCTCACCCTTGGCCCGGCCATGCACTTCCATTCCAGCAGGCGCTGGGGGTGGGTGCGCAGCTGCACTGTTTGGAGGGTCCTGCGTTCAGGTGCGGCCCCCCACCCCCACCCCGGGGCTCTGCAGCCTTGGGCATCCACAGGCAGGAAGGCAGCCCGGCAGGCCCAGGGGATTTCAGGAGATGTCCCTGCCCGGAGCAGTCCCATCCCTCCTCACGGGGTCCCTGTCACCAGCACTGAGCTGGGACCCCGCCTGGCACTGACCCAGCTGAGCAGCTCCTGTCCCATTGGGCTGCCTGGGTCCCCAACATGGGAACTCTTCAGATGAGCGGGAGGTTCTCCTCTGGGGACTGGGGACCACCCAGCAGCACACACCAGCACCCACCACCTGCTGGCGCTGGGTCCGAGGGGCAGCCACGGAGGGCACACAGCCCTGGCCGGCCCCTGGCCCCCCGTCCTGCCCCGGCCCCAACACGTGAGAACCTGTTGGAGCAGTCTGGGCACCGCGGGCACCTCCTCTTCCTCCTTCCCATTTACTTCTGGGTGGGAAGGGGCCTCGCTTTGAAAACTGGGCACAGGGCCAGGTCGCAGCCGCGGGCCAGGGCCCGGCTCTACCTCCCCACCCCACGGCCCCCAGAGGGCATAAGGTCAAGTGCAACCCGGGGCGTCCCTGTCTGGAGCGGGGGGGGCCGGGGCACCATGCCGGCAACAACACCCCCACCCCCACCAACGCCGTTCCGTCACCCACCTCCGCGGGCGGAGAGGGAGGGGAGGTGAGGGGCGGGGGGGCGGGGGGCCGGCCGGGGCCCCCACCCCACCCGGCCCGGCCCGCGTCCCGGGGCTCGGGGGCCGCGGCGGAGGGTGGGCGCGCCGGCCGCCCCCCCGGCCGGGCCCGCCGGCGTCCGGGCCGCCGCTCGCGCCTCTCCCGGGCCCGCGCGGGGAAAGTTCCTGCAACTTCGCGGGGGAGGCGGCGGGCCGGGCCTGGGCCTGGAGCCGGCCTCCCCGCGGCCCCGCTGTCAGCCGCCCGGCCCGCGGCGCCCCAACTTGCCGGCGCGGCCCCCGGGCCCGCTTTGTGCGCCGCGCGAGGGGCGCCCGCCCCGGCCCCGGCCCCCGCCCCGGGCACAAAAGGGCGCGCGGCCGGCGGCCGGCGGCGGCGGCGGGGGCCTGCGGCGGGCGCGCACCGGGGCCGGGGCCGGGGCACGGCTGGGGGGGCGCGGGCGGCCGCGGGGCGGCCGGGGCCGGGGCCGGGGCCGCGGGCCGCGCGCTCACCTGCCGTGGAACCAGTCCTTGCAGGCGTCGCACTCGATCATGAAGCGGGTAACGTCGTAGGGGAGCCGGCACACGCAGTACACGGGCACCGTCGCCATGTTCGCGCGCCGCCCGCCCGCCCTCGGCCCGCGCTGCGCTCCGGGTCGGGCCGGGCGGGCCGGGCGGGCCGGGCGGGGGGCCGCGCCGGGCCGGGGCCGGGACGGGGCCGGGGGCGCACGACAGCCCGCGCGCACCCGGCCGGCGCGTCCACACAAAGCGGGGCGCGCGGAGCAGGGCCGCGCCGGGAGCCGCCCGCCGGCCCCGGGGCGCAGGGCGCGAGTGTGCGCGGGGCCGGGCCGCGCGCGGGACACAAAAGGGAATGGACGCGCGGGGGCGGCGGGCGGGGAGCCGCGGCCCCACCGAAGGGACCCCCGGCCGCCGAGCGGCCTCTACGTCAGCGCCCCGGGTGGCGCCGCCTCCGCCCGCCGGCCTGGGCCGCCGCTCCCGCCGAGGGAAGGCGGGCCGGGGACCGCGGGGACAAGGCGGGCTGGGGGACCTGCCGGGGAGAAGGTGGGCCGGGGGACCCCTCTGGGGGAGAAGGGGGGCTGGGGGGCCTGCCTGGGAGAGGAGGACCGGGGGACCCCTCTGGGGGAGAAGGAGGGCCGGGGGACCCCTCTGGGGGGAGAAGGAGGGCCGGGGGACCCCTCTCGGGGCATGTGGGCCGGGGAGGAGAGCGGGGGACCCCCCCGGAGAAGATGGGCCGGGACACCCCTCTGGAGGAGAAGGTGGGCTGGGAGACCTGCAGGGGAGAAGGCGACCAGGGCCCCTGCCAGGAGTAAGTGGGCCAGGGAGACCCCCTGTGGGGGAGGATGGATGAGGAACCAAGCCAGGACAAAGTGGGCTGGGTAATTGGGGGGTGCAGGGAAAGTGGGGGGGTCACCCGGAAAGAAGGTGGGCTGAGGCTACAGGGTGGGCGGGCCCTGAGACCCCTGGGTGTGGGGTGAGACCCTCAGGATGTCCTTCTCGTTCAGATGGCCAAGGAACAACTACTTGGCTCCAACTCTCTTCTTACCCAGCAGACGGACAGGGGGCAACGGGGGTTTTCTGTTGCTTTTCCTCCCTGCTCCTTTTCCCGCTAGGTGCAGCCAGCAACCCCCCCCTCCCCCCGCAGGATCCTGACTCTCCTGATGCTCAGCCCCCAGAGGAGGACAGAATTCAGGGAGCCAGGGGCGCACTCACACAGGTCAGCTCTAGAAAGCGAGAGTGATTATGTGGAATTGGAGCCCCACCCCCATCCCTGCTCAGAGCCCCCAGGCCTCGTGTCCCTGTCAGGATTGTGGCTCTAGGGCAGCAGGGCTAGAGGGGTGGGGACAAGAGGTGCTGCTGCCTTGCTCTGGGCGCTGCAGCCTCAGCAGGGGGGTCAGGGTCTGGGGTGGGGGGCGCTGAGGGCTCCTTCCCCCCAGCTGCATCCATGCTCCTCTGGGGGTGCCTGAGCAGTGGCTTCCAATGTGCAGTAGTGTTCTGCCCCCTGCTCCTGGGGGATGCTGGCCACCTGAAGCACAGGACTCCAGCCTGGACGGAAAGCCTGGTCCAGGCCACTCGGCGGCGGCAGCCCGGACAGGCAGGTGCTCAGCTGAGTCTGCGGCCTCTCGGGACCACCTGTCCCACTTGCAGGCAGCTCCGCTGAAGTGCTCCGTCCTCTTGAGGCAAAACCCGCCCTGGCGTGGCCAGCCCCGCTCCCCCAGCAGATGACCCCTGGACCGCAGCCTGGCAGTGCCCATGGCAGGGCCTTAGCTGGGAGGCACCAGCATGAGGAGTGAGAGTGGAGAAGACTCTGGGCAATGGGGGGGGGGGGGAGCTCCCAACCCCCCGCCAGCCCCGTGCTCAGCGCCTTCCTCCCTGAATTGTAGCTGTCACCCTCCCCTCTGGAGTCCTTCTGCCTGGACCTGGTGCGGACTCTGGGAAGCACTGTCCACCAGGAGCACCGTGGTGCGAGTTAGTGCGGATGAACAGTGCTGAGTCTGCAGGGCAGCCCAGGGCGCCCGCCCGGGCACTGCTGAGGGACCGTCCCCTCACACCAGCAGTGTCCGTCTCCACCCTTGGCGGTCCAGCAAGGCCAGAAGTTTCTGCAGGCCCCTGGGCTGCAGCCCTCCTCCCACACCTCCATCTCCTTGTTTACAAACAAGGACAGCGTCACCAGCATTTAGCAAAGGCTCACCAGAGGCTTGCTTAGTTCCTTGCAGGCTCCAGCAGCAATCCCCACCCCCACCCCACCCCACCCCCCACCCCCGCTGCCTGGGAAGCACACAGCATCAGCCCTGGGCCACCCCTGCTCCACAGACAGGCACCCAGATGGGTGCCATTCCACAGGACACTGAGGCTGGAAGCAGCTCAGTCCCTCCCGGAGGAGTCAGCCTGCTGGCGGGAGGGAGAAGCAGGCCGGGAGCCCCCACTTCCCCGGGGCCTGAGGCCATTCCAGCCACCCTGCCCTCCCTGTCTGCACGCGTCCACTGCATCTGGAAGTGTCCGCAGAGATGCTCGAAGCTCTTCCAAAGCCGCGGGCCGACTACACACTAAAGTAAGCGTTCATGTGGGTCCCAAACCCTCCCTGTCCTCAACCTCCAGAAAGCCCTCCTCCCTCTCCTTCAGTTACTTAGATGCGCATTGAGCACCTGCTGTGTGCCCTGTTGTAGCTCCTCTTGCTGTAAGGGGGAGAGTGACACATGTCCCACAGTGCCCTGGGGAGACCAGCACTGGTGGGGGGGGGGGGGAGGGACCTAGGGCCTCCTGAAGTGACCTGGGCTCAGAGGCCACACAGAGAGGGAAAGTGCATGGGGCCAGATGCAAGGACCCAGGAAGCAGGGGCAGTGGCCTTAAGATGCAGGTGTCCCCTCTGGCTGCCCACTCATGCTCTGGCCCTTCCATGTGGTCTGCCCTTTGCCTCAACACCGACCGAGTCCATGCCATTCCTGGGGGCGCAGTCCACATAAGCATCAGGACCTCAGCACCCACCCACGTGGCCGGGCCTGCAGCAGGGCTAAGAGGGGGCTCCCAGCAGCACGCAGCCTGCAGCCAGCCTCGAGGGTGGGGCCCGTTTTATTCACCTTGTTGCCCAGTGGAAACACAGCATGTTTCAGGTCACGTTGATCCCCTCCCTCTCTACAGAGTATACTGAAGGCTAGTGCAGGCTTTTCTTTTAATGGTAGTAACATACACAAGATAACGTTTACCATTTTGATCATCTCTAAGTGCACAGCTCTGTGGCATTAAGTACATTCACACTGTTGTGCAAGCATCACCGTGCCCCTCTGCAATTCTGGCCCCCCGTCCCCCTCCCCCAGCCCCTGATGCTTACCATTCTTCTTCCTGTCTTCGTGAGCTTGACTGTCCTAGGGACCACGGGTCGGTGGACTCCTGCAGAGTTGGACCCTCTGTGACTGGCTTACTTCGCCCGGCACGGTGTCCTCCAGGTTCACCCTGTTGTAGCAGGGGTCAGGATTCCTTTCCTTCTTAGGACTGAATACTGTTCCATCCTACATAGAACCCACATTTGATTTGTCCGTTCATTGTTGAAGGACTCCTGAGTTGTTCCCACCATTTGGCTGTTGTGAGTGATGCTAGGAGTGTGGGTGTGCAAATATCTGTTTGTGTCCCTGCTGCTACCTTTGTGTGTATGCCCAGAAGTGGGATCGGTGAATCATAGGGTAGTTCCAACTTCTTGAGGAACCTCCATACCGTTCTCCAGAGTGGCTGCACCAGTTTGCATTCCCATCAACAGTGCACGAGGGTTCCAATTTCCCCATATCCTCGCCAACATTTGTTGTTTTCTGGTTGTATGTGTGTGTGTTTGTTATAGCTGTCCTAATGTGGGGGAAGTGGTATCTCACTGTGGGGTGGTTTTTTTTTTTTGAAGTAAAGATTTTTATTTTGATTTCTCAACATACAGTTCAGTATAATACTAGTTTTTGATGGCAAAAATTTGTTGCCACTGAAACTCCATGATCATTGTGGGTTTGATTTGCATTTCCCTAATGAGTAATGATATTGTGCATAATGACCATCTATATATTTGTCCATGTCCATTTGAGGCCTTTCTTCATTTTTGGTTTGGGCTGGGTTTTTTTTGTTGTTGACTTGTAGGTGTTCTTTATATATTCTGGATATTAATCTCTTATCAGATAGATGATTTGCAATTGTTTTCTCACATTCTGTCAGTTGTCTTTGCACTCTGTTGGTCAGGTGTGTCCTTTGATGTACGAACATTTTTAATTTTGAGGAAATCCAGTTCAACTCTTTTTTCTTCTTTTGTTGCCTGTGCATTTTGATGTCATATGCAAGAAGTCATTACCAAATCCAGTGTCATGAAGGTTTCATCCTGTGTTTTAGGTTTAGGCTTTTGATCCATTTTGAGTTAGTTTTTGCATTTGGTGTTAGTAAGGGTCAGCATCCTGCTTTCGCGTGTGGAGATGCAGCTTTCCCAACGCCATGTGTTGAAAGCATAGTTCTCTCCCCGTTAAGTGCTCATTGCACCCTTGTCAGAATCACTTGACTATGTGGGGAAGGGTTTATTTCCAGGCTTTTTATTGTCTTTCATTGGTCTGCATGTCCAGGCTTATGCCACACTGTGTTGATTTCTGTAGCTTTGTAGTAAGTTTTAGAATCAGGAAGTGTGAGCCCTCCAACTCTGTGCTTTTTTCGGGATCCTTTCAGTTCTTCTAGGCCCCTTACAGCTCTATATGAATTTGATGATTGGCTTCTCCATTTCTGCAAAAAGGGCTATGATAATTTTGACAGGGATTGCATTGAATGTATAGGTCATTTTGGGTAGTATTGCCATCCTAACAATGTTAATATTCTGATCCATGAACATGGGATGTGTTTCCATTTATTTGTGCCTTACTGCTTTCAGCAATGTTTCATAGTTTTCAGCTCACAAGTCTTTTGTCCCGTCACTGACGTGTATTCCTAAGTTTTTTTTTTTTATGTTGTTGTAAATGGAATTGCATTCCTAATTTCCTTTTGGGATTGTTTATTCTTAGTGTATGGAAACAAAACTGATTTTTGTGTGTTGATTTAGTATTCTGCAACTTTGCTGAATTTATTACTTCTAATAGCATTTTGTGGAATCTTTAGAGTTCCTAATTCTTGATGATTGTACGTAAAAGCATGTCATTGGTGAACAGAAATTACTTCTTTCTGTCTAATTTAGATGCTGTTTGTTTTTTATTTGTGCTCAATTGCTCTGGCTAGAACTTCCAATACCGTGTTGAGTAGAAGTGGTAAAAGTGGCATCTTTCTCGTTTCTGATCTTAGGGGAAATGCTTTTTTTTTTTTTTTTTTTTAACTTTTTCACCATTGTTCACTTTGGGCTTTTTAATATGTGGCCTTACTATGCTGAAAAATTTCTTTCTATTCCTTGTTTGTTATTTTTATCATGATAGTGTGTTGAATTTTGTGAAGTGCTTTCTCTGCGTTGGTTGAGATGATCCTGTGGGCTTTCCCTCTTTCGTTCTGTTAGTGTGGTGTCTCACCCGGATTGATCTTGAGACCAAACCATCCTTGCATTCCAGGAACTAATTCCACTTGGTCGTGGTGTACCATCTTTCTAACTCACGGGTGCATGCAGTTTCCTGGTATTTTGCTGAGAATTTTGCATCAAGGTTCGTGAGGGTTGTTTTTTTTCGTAGTTCTCTCTTCTTGTCGAGTCTTTGGTTTTGGTTATCAGGGCAATGCTGACTTCAGAGGAAGTGTTAGGAAATGTTCCCTCCTCCTCAACATTTGGGAAGAATTTAAGGATTAGTGTTGATTTTTTCTCTAAATCCATGGTAGAATTCACCAGCAAAGCTTTCCTTTGCTGGGAGGCTTTTGATTACCGATTCAGTCTCTGTAATAGCTGCAGGCCCATGAGATGTCCTGTTTCTTCATAATTCAGCTTTGGTGGGTTGTGTGTGTCCAAGAGTTTGCCCTTTCCATCCAGGCTGTCCAGTGTGTCAGTAAGCAACAAGTGCAGGTCTTATGGCCATGAACCAGGCAGACACGTCCCTCCGCTGAGGAGCTCATGTGCCAGAGCAGATGACAGAAAATTAATAACAGTGTGGGGGGTGGGAGAAGTCAGAAAGGAGGTACTAGTTCAGGGTCGGATGTGTGCTTCTGTAACACAGGAAGCCATCTGGTGAATGCCAAGAGAGTTCTAAGAGCAGGCCCTTGGGAGACCTGGACCAAACTGATCTGATCTAGAACCCACTGAAATGAACAGTGACCCATGGGGACTTTGGAAACCTTCTGGGTTTTCCTGATACGTGTGAGAGTGCCCTTCCTGTCGAGCATCTCTAGGATGGCCCTGTGATGTTTGGAAGCAGTGCATTTGTAGACAAAAGCCCCTCAGCCCAGTGATTATCTAATTTACCATCCAAAAGGGCGCTGTTCGTAAAACACCAGAACAGGGCAAACGGGCTACTCTGGGAAAACCAGACCCAGGTGACACTTATGTAACCCACACCTGGGTCGGTCAGGTCTGAAGAGCTGGATCTGCACGAATGCCAGGAGTGGATGTGGCGTGATGAGGCTGGGCGGGTGTGCTGCGGGGCCACCAGGCTTGCTTCACGTGCTGCTGGCATCCGCTGGGCACAGTGGGCCACGGCCATCCCAGGCACCACCCTGAAGCGGCCAGCGCTCTGCCTGGGTAATTTCCACGCAGCCCCCAGGGTGTCCCTCCTGGAGTCCCCAAGACATCACCTGCACAGTCCAGCGCACAGCACGGGCTAAAGTGCCTGGTGCAGAGCCTGGCTTGGCCCATGGGCAGGTCTGTGGGGCCCCTGGCTGTGCTAGGGAAGCTGATGAGGAGAGGAGCGGGGGCCCGGCCAGCAGCAGCCAGAGGCCCTCGTGGCAAGGGCAAAGCAACCTCTGCAAGGCTCACTCCACCAAGTGGGGAGTAAGGAGCAAAGGGGAAAGGGCAGCAAATCAGGCATTGTCCAAAGAATTCACGGCAGAATAAGGTCGCAGGAGAAGAGAGCCGCTCCTGAGGGGACCACACTGGGAGAGAGCTGGGGTCCTCGTGCCCGCCCACAGAGGGTGCTGAGAGGGCCCCTGTCAGGAGCCAGGAGGAGACAGATGGCAAGGAGGGGTGTTTGCAATTCCCTTTGTACTTGCAGCTGCTAACACGGATGAGGGCGCAAATGGTGAATTCGTTCTTAAAATGTTTGCCCTGGCCTGGGGTTTTAGATTCAAAAAAGCCAGGACACTAACAATCTGTTGACTGGAACATGGACAAACTGAGGGTACATTACGGTACAAAGGGAAATGTCACCCTCACAGACAACTGAAGCAATGCAGGTGAAAACCAGAAACCCACTTTCCTGTCCCACTGGCCAAGAGCGGGGCTGGTCAGCGCTGAGGACCAACACACCCTTCCCTCCTCGTCCCTCCCCTTGGCCTTCCTTCCAGGGAGAAGCTAATTCCTGGCGGGGTGTGTGCGCCCACCCAGAGACTGCTCCTCATCTCCCAAGTGCCAGCAGCACCCAAGAACCCTGTGTGGTGGCTTCTCCCCTCATCAGTGGGTTCTCTCTATCCATTGATGCCTGCCCTGGACCTGAGCCCAACTTTGCTCTGCAGACCACCATTGTTGCCAGCCCCAACGGTCCTCCCTGCCACACGCCCGTGACCCTGTGTTATGTTCCTTGTGTTCTTATCTGATAGGGCCTCATGTGCACACATCTATACTGCACCCTGAAACCGAAGTGCCATGAAGTGGCCCCTGCTGCTGAGTCAGGAACACCCGTACACAGCCACTGTGTGGGGCCTGGGTAGCATCAGAATGCGGTGGTGCTGGGCGCAGTGCCGGGCACGGTGGTGCTGGGCGCAGTGCTGGGCACAGTGCCGGGCGCGGTGGCGCTAGGTGCTAGGCTCGGTGGTGCTGGGCGCGGTGCGGGGCACGGTGGTGCTGGGTGCTAGGTTCGGTAGAGCTGGGTGCGGTGGTGCTGGGCGCGGTGCGGGGCACGGTGCCGGGCGCGGTGGTGCTGGGTGCTAGGCTCGGTGGTGCTGGGTGCGCTGCGGGGCGCGGTGCCGGGCGCGGTGGTGCTAGGTGCTAGGCTCGGTGGTGCTGGGCTCGGTGGTGCTGGGTGCTAGGTTCGGTAGAGCTGGGCGCGGTGGTGCTGGGCGCAGTTCTGGGCACGGTGCTGGGCGCGGTGGTGCTAGGTGCTAGGCTCGGTGGTGCGGGGCGCGGTGCGGGGCGCGGTGGTGCTGGGTGCTAGGTTCCGTCGAGCTGGGTGCGCTGGTGCTGGGCGCGGTGCGGGGCACGGTGCTGGGCTCGGTGCTGAGCGCGGTGCCGGGCGCGGTGGTGCTGGGTGCTAGGTTCGGTAGAGCTGGGCGCGGTGGTGCGGGGCGCGGTGGTGCTGGGTGCTAGGTTCGGTAGAGCTGGGCGCGGTGGTGCTGGGCGCAGTGCCGGGCACGGTGCCGGGTGCGGTGGTGCTGGGTGCTAGGTTCGGTAGAGCTGGGCGCGGTGGTGCTGGGCGCGGTGCGGGGCACAGTGCTGGGCTCGGTGCTGGGCGCGGTGTGGGGCGCGGTGGTGCTGGGTGCTAGGTTCGGTAGAGCTGGGCACGGTGGTGCGGGGCGCGGTGCGGGGCGCGTGCCGGGCGCGGTGGTGCTGGGTGCTAGGCTCGGTAGAGCTGGGCGCGGTGGTGCGGGGCGCGGTGTGGGGCGCGTGCCGGGCGCGGTGGTGCTGGGTGCTAGGTTCGGTAGAGCTGGGCGCGGTGGTGCTGGGCGCAGTGCCGGGCATGGTGGTGCTGGGCGCAGTGCTGGGCACGGTGCCGGGCGCGGTGGTGCTGGGTGCTAGGTTCGGTGGAGCTGGGCGCGGTGGTGCGGGGCGCGGTGCGGGGCGCGTGCCGGGCGCGGTGGTGCTAGGTGCTAGGCTCGGTGGTGCTGGGCTCGGTGCGGGGCGTGGTGGTGCTGGGTGCTAGGTTCGGTAGAGCTGGGCGCGGTGGTGCTGGGCGCAGTTCTGGGCACGGTGCTGGGCGCGGTGGTGCTAGGTGCTAGGCTCGGTGGTGCGGGGCGCGGTGCGGGGCGCGGTGGTGCTGGGTGCTAGGTTCCGTAGAGCTGGGCGCGCTGGTGCTGGGCGCGGTGCGGGGCACGGTGCTGGGCTCGGTGCTGGGCGCGGTGCGGGGTGCGGTGCCGGGTGCGGTGGTGCTGGGTGCTAGGTTCGGTAGAGCTGGGCGCGGTGGTGCGGGGCGCGGTGGTGCTGGGTGCTAGGTTCGGTAGAGCTGGGCGCGGTGGTGCTGGGCGCAGGGCCGGGCACGGTAGTGCTGGGCGCAGTGCTGGGCACGGTGCCGGGTGCGGTGGTGCTGGGTGCTAGGTTCGGTAGAGCTGGGCGCGGTGGTGCTGGGCGCGGTGCGGGGCACGGTGCTGGGCTCGGTGCTGGGTGCTAGGTTCGGTAGAGCTGGGCACGGTGGTGCGGGGCGCGGTGCGGGGCGCGTGCCGGGCGCGGTGGTGCTGGGTGCTAGGCTCGGTAGAGCTGGGCTAGGTGGTGCGGGGCGCGGTGCGGGCGCGTGCCGGGCGCGGTGGTGCTGGGTGCTAGGTTCGGTAGAGCTGGGCGCGGTGGTGCTGGGCGCAGTGCTGGGCACGGTGCCGGGCGCGGTGGTGCTGGGTGCTAGGTTCGGTAGAGCTGGGCGCGGTGGTGCGGGGCGCGGTGCGGGGCGCGTGCCGGGCGCGGTGGTGCTGGGTGCTAGGCTCGGTGGTGTTCTTACTGATACAGCCTCACGTACACACGCCTATCCTGGGCGCGCAGGCCCCTCACCAGGCGGGCGTGGGGGCTGGAGGCCGCTGTAAAGTTCCCGCAGACGTCTGTGGGCTGCGCAGGACCGACGCAGGTGCGCCGAGAGGCGCGCGTCACGAGTGATTTCTGTTCCCGTCTGGCTGCACTCTTTGAAGTTACGGCAATAAACGTGTTACTTTTCAAACAAGCAGACAAGAGCAACAAAAGTTCTTTTCTACAAAAACAAGAAACGGTCAGCACGAGCGTTTGGTTCGCCCCGGAGCAGCGGCCGGGCCGCGGGCCCCTGCGCCCCCGCAGGCCGCGCTCACCCACACCGGCGCTGGCGCCCGCTGTGGCGCTCAGCGCGGCCGGCCGCGGGGCGGGGACCGTGCGCGCGCAGCGCCCGTGCAGCTGGGAGGAGGCCTCCCCGCCCCGAGCACAGGCCGGAAGCGCTCGCGGCCCCGCCCCACGCCGTCCGGCGCACAGGCCGGAAGCGCTCGCGGTCCCGCCCCGAGCACAGGCCGGAAGCACCCGCGGTCCCGCCCCGAGCACAGGCCGGAAGCGCCCGCGGTCCCGCCTCCAGCACAGGCCGGAAGTGCTCACGGCCCCCCCCCCCCCAGCGCCATCCAGAGCACAAGCCGGAAGTGCTCGCGGCCCGGCCCGCGCACAGGCCGGAAGCGGCTCAGGCCCCGCCCCCGTGCGCAGGCCGGAAGCGCGCCGGTCCTCTGCGAACGCCGGGTGCTGTGGCTGGCTTCCCCCAGATGCCCGCGGCAGGCTCGTCCCCAGCGCTGTCGCCTGAGCGACCATGGAAGCGCCACAGTGGCGGGTGGGCAGGGCCGGCGGGGGAGCCCCGCTGATGGCTGATGTGGGCATTAGCAGCAGCAGCGCTCAGCGCGCTCTGCTTGGTCTCCGAGCCTGCGGTCCGAGGACCGGCCCGGGGTGTGTGTCGTCGGCGGGGCTCGGACCCCCACCCACCGGCCCCGGTGTGTGTGTCGTCGGCGGGGCTCGGACCCCCACCCCACCCCGAGCCCCGGGCGCCCCCAGTCTGCGGTCCGAGGACCGGCCCGGGGTGTGTGTCGTCGGCGGGGCTCGGACCCCCACCCCGGGCGCCCCCGCCGCGGTCCCGGCGGAATCTGGAAGCCACGCCGTGTTTATACTAAAAGAATAAAGATTTTTATTAAGCATTGTAAGTTGCATTCAATAGCCTTCGGTACAGCACTCCACAACCCACCTACAATCAGTCAGACCCAACAGCAGTTCATTCTTGCACAATCCATGAGTTAGGGCAGAACTCCCTTCAACTTACAGTAAGATCCTACTCAGGTCTCGCGGGCAGGGATTGGGGAATTACATCTCATTTCTGATCACTAATGTGTGATGAAGAGCATCAGGAGAATTATATGAAAACGAATAAGAAGTGATTCTGATTTCAAAGTACATTGTTTGGAAACAGTAACAAAAACATCAAAATGATATAAGTATACCTGCTTCTACTAAATTCTTGATGGGAAAGTTCTCAAGAACAAGCAATTTGTTTCCTGCTACAGAAGGGGAGGTTGTTTTTTTTGGTTTTTTTTTTAAGATCAAAGGGATTTTTTTTTTGTTTTTCACAGAATTTCATATTTTGCTAATATGAAGGCATAAAACAGCAACAAAGAACAATAATGCATACAGCAGTGAATACACCAGGGTAATGTTGATATTTGAAACAGCTAGATAATTTGGGGGGGTTTTTAGAATAAATGCAACAGAGGTCAATAATCACAAAATTTTAAGGTTAGAGCAAGATCAGTCAATGACTAAACAGAGTTAACATCTTTTATAGGACTATTACTGATTATTAGCATTTTGTTTTGCAAATGGGCACATACTGGTAAGAATGGAAGGACAATAACATGCATAATATCAACTACACACTTTAAAAATTATGAACCATGCAGAAGGTTAGCTCAAGTAGTAGCACGAATGGTCTACGTCCGATCAAAACCACATAGTTCATTGATCACAGATGCATGGTATTAAGTCACAAAAAGTTTCAGAACACATTGTGTTGATTTTGAAAGGTCATTTGCATCTTCTATGATTTCAACTTTATCTCCATTTAACTTGCTTGTAAAGTAAGTATGATGTGCTGCATATTTAAAATCAGCAGAACGGCAATATTACTCTATAATTTTTTAGTTTTGATAGTTGCACTTTTTTTTTTAACACAAAAGAACCACATCAACAGTGATGAGATTTAAGTAAGAAAGAAAAACCGTGGTGTGCCTTACTTCTTTCATAATCATAAAATCAAAGCCTTAGACAAAGCTTTCTTGTGAACAGTAATGCAAAATCAAAGATAATGGCATACATATGGTGCCAAATGCTAAAAATGATATTTTAAGCTATATATACTTAAAGACTGCCAAAATTTGTTTTCTTTATAGTTCAAGAAACACAACTATAGGCTTTTGTCATAACCAGTTTAAACTTTGTGTGTACTTCATTTTAAGTGTGGGAGTCAAATGCTCTTCATTTTCTTTCTCTCTTTTTGTTTTATTGTAGCATTTTGACTACAACTGGTTAAAACTAAAAATGTGTTGTTTAAATCTCTGATATCAAAGAGGGATCCGAATTTCCAAAGTCCTCATTTTTCTCTTACGGAAAGGAAAAAATGTACATAACTGTAGGCTCTCTTTCTCTCCAGATATTCCTGAATCCTACCCTTCCAGCATCCTTCACCCTCTATAAAAAATAAGTTTACTCTTCTTTCTTTAAGACAGCAGCCTCCAGAGCATCAGCTCTGCGGCAAGCACTGTCTGTACTTAGTGCATTTAAGTGAGGATTTGTATTGCACGTCTTAGAGTCATTGTTCAAGGCACTTTCCGAGTGGCTGGGGGCCCTGGCGTCGCCTGCGCTCCCGTTCATCTGGGCAGCAGGCTTCTCCTCAGCCACCGCTCCGTTTTCAGCCAGGGACCCATCTGAAGACACGGCGGATGACTTGGATTCCCCGGATCTTGACTTCAGTTCTTTGGCCACTTCTTCTGCTGAAGCAGCATAAGGAGGCTTGCCCTGGTCAAAATCAAGGACAACAAGCAATAAAGCAGCTTTGATAAACAGTGGGAGAGAAGGAATGCCTACCAAGGCCTGACACCGCCTGCTTCAGATTCAACAGCGGAAGGCACGGCATGGGTGTGCTCTTCACGGGGTGTACTCGCGGCCCTTACGTACTCTGTGGGCTGCACAGCCCGTACTCTCTACACTCCCTGTGCACCTGCGCACTCTCTCTACCCTTCTCTCCATACACTGCAGTCTACGTTCTCCACAGTCTGTCTACACAGTCCGCACCCTGTATGGATTTATAGTCTGTATGCTCTATGCACGCTATACCTGAGCCTCTGTTCTCTAGCACCTGCAGAGTACATACACCTACCTACTCTGGTCTGTACCTCACTCTCGTGTACGCACATTCTCTACAGTCTACACTCCATACTCTCTCTAGTCTGTGCCTCCATAGTCTACACTCTAATACACTCTGTCTTATTTCTGACTGAGCTGCCACTGGCAGGAGCTTGTCTCAGCAGGTTCATCCTGGGACCCCTTCCCTCCACTTCTCTGTAGCTAATATCCTGGCCATGCAGGAGAGCCCCACTTGAGCTCTACCTAATCCTTCTGGGTAGTACCAGTTCTTCCTTAACACCGCCCCTCAATAAATCCTCTCTGAAATTTCAGACTACGACTCCCCCAAATGTTCACCAACTAACACGTCTGCCTGTCACGGTCTGTGGGGGGCCCATTTCTACTGGGAAATGGAGGCAGACCTAAGTCCTCTCTGAACAACCCAACAAGAAATAAGTAAGTCTAAGCTGATAATCGCCACATATGTTTGTGACTTATCTCTTCTGAACGGGTCTCTCTGCTCCTCTTAACAGATTTAAAAGTAATTCTGGAAAAATATGAACTTTTAGAGTGATTCAGCTCATGTCCTGAAAGACAAGGAAGACGGCCCGAGATCTTCCAGGTGCTTACATCTTATACCATGGGTTTCTCAGCCTGGCACCGTGACATCTTGGACCTATCATTCTGCCATGGGCTGTCTTGTGTGCTACAGAGTGGTGGGCATCACTGGCCTCTGCCCATTAGAAGCCAGAAGCGCCTGCAGGTTGAGCTGTGGTGATCAACAGTGTCCCCCAAATAAGCCAATGGCCCTCAGGGGAGCGACATCACCAGGGCTGAGAACCACTGTCAGAGGCAGACACATTGCCGAAGAAAACCTTAATCGTCTTTGCCTTCAAATGGTCATCTTTCAGTGAAGAAACTGAGACCCAGAACCCGAAAGCCGCCTACACATCTCCCAGCTCTGCATTCCTTCCCTTTCAACCCCAGGCGGCAGCGTGTCTGGTCTCCAGTCTTCCCTACTCTGAAAACCAGGCCCTCCCTGCTCAGCCAAGTGGGGCTGGAGGTGCCCGTCGCCCTCGCCTCCGGCACGCCATCTTGCATGCTGGTGGTTCCTAGGTTGGTTCCCCTCTGGGCTCCATTCCCACGGGTCTTCTCACTTTAGTGTTCAATCAGAGTTCAGAAATACGAATGTGAGCTTTTCCACAAGTCAATACTACTGTCATTTTGTTGGAACCTTAAGAAAAATAATTAATACAAAAGTATAAGAGGGCAAAGAGGGGAAAAAGGTAACATCAAAGCTTTCCAACCTCCGAGCCCTCACTCTCTGAGGGAAAAGCCCACTTCCACTAGAGAGACACGTGCAGCAGGGTCGCCAGGGCTGGCGGCAGGGGCCGGCTGACTGGGGGCTCCCCACAGTCACTGTCTGGAAACCATGGGGGCAGGTACAGACGATGCCAGCGGAGGGAGCAGGAATGCTGACTGCACCTGTTCAGAAACAGACGTGCCCTCTTTCTACAGCCAAGTCTTCCCATAAGCCTTGGCCACTACATGCCCCCCCGAAGGGCACCCCGAGCACAGGGTGGCACTGCTTCCTCCGCCCACTGACACTCGACCCTCCTGGGAGGCTGCAACACCAACAAGACAGACAGGCCACAGACGCTCGCAGGCCAGCTGCCCTTCACTATCTGTGCTTCTCAAGGGGCAAGAACACTGATGCCACCTAAAAATGAGCAACAGGAGGCACCGAGGTGGAGCCGTCAGAACACAGCATAAGAACACCAGGGAAGGAACCGCACCCCTGCGGGCCGCCGTGCCTCGGCTCCAGCACCCGACCCAGAGGAGCAGCACGGAGCAGACCAAGAAAGCCCGGAGGGGGGGTGGGAGACGGAAGGGAGGTCCAAAACAGAAACAAAGACGGCGCCGGAAACGAAGACCCAACTAGGGAAACACAACAGCAAGTGAACATCGTAATACATGAAGATGGCAAAAAGGAAGAAAAGCTTAAAATCGGAAATGCAAGTCAAACCACAATGAGATACCCAGCCAGACAGCTAAACTCAAGTATGGACAGTAAGTGGCGCTGGCGAGGGCACGGAGAAACGCAGACCCTCGTGCATGGCTAGCGGGAAGGGAAAACTGTGCAGCCGCCGCAGAGAGTCTGGCCGTTCCTCAAGTGCATGAATGCAGAACGCCCACAGGTCCCAGGAATCACCCCCAGAGGAATGGGACGTCTGTCCATGCAAACACCTGACGGCAAAGGCTGTAGTGAACAGTAGTGCGTATCTGAAAGCTGCTAGAGAGATACCAAAAGTTCTCATCACAAGAAAATACGTTTTTGTAACTCTTTGAGGTGATGCAGGTCAACCAGACTTACTGTGGCGATCACTCTGCAATATGTACACCTGGGACTGATGCCATGCTACCTATGCTGCTGACATCTCAGTAAAGCTGGGGAAAACCCGAACCTATACAAAGATGCCCACAGCAGCACCACCCGTAACAGCCGGAACAGTGAAAACAGCCTAAATGTCCATCAGCTGATAAATGGGTACACAAGATGTGCCCCGTCTCCCGGTGGAGCGTCCGCAGCAACAAACGGAGCGACGTGCTAGTGCTGCAACGTGCACTTCCGGGACATGCACACAGAGCACGGCCACGGAAAGCAGGCCCGTGGCTGCCAGGGGCTGGGGCGTGGCTGCTCCCGAGTAAGGGCTTTCTTCTTGGGGTGGTGAATGTTCGGGAATTAGCAGGGTTGCTGCATGCCAGTAAGAACAGACTGCACTGTCCACCTGAATGAAGCAGGTGAGTTCTGTCTCAAAAGAAGACCGCCAGGGAGCGGAGAACATGCCAAACACCGACAGGAGACACAGGACGAGCTCCACAGGAGTGCCAGAGATGAAAGCCAGGAAGGAAAAACGAGAGAAATGAAAAACCAGTAGTCCAAGAAAACTTTCTGATGTAAGACAAGATCTGAAACTGCGTTTAGAAAGAGCACGTTGTGGCTGAGAGCACCAACCCAGAACAACCAGCAGCGGGATGCATCACTAAACCTCAGCAGAGAAACAAAAACCATTTGGGCATTTGGGCCAAAACCCCAACGACTTCCAAGGGAAAGACAATTCTTTTATTATTCGTCTTTGACGTAAAGCTTTATGACAGAAGAAAATGACAGAACGTGCATGAGACACCTGAAGGGGAGGTAAGAACCACCGCTTCTGATTGTTAGGAAAGCAAAACGCTCTCAAACGTGCCCTCGTTTCCACTGGGCCCTCCCTGTGAAGTGTGCTGAGGAGAGCCTCGAGGGATAGTGCGGGTGGACAGAGGACACGCTTCCACAGAAGCCGGGCAGATAGGCCGCGGTGCGGCAGCAGGTCAAGGCCGTGTGCCGGGACAACACAATCGGTAACCGCACAGCTACCATCAGAAACGCGGGCGCCGGCGGACGGAGCCACTGTGCGTGCAGCTGGGACAAAGCCAATGACAAGGCCGGGGGCACTCTAACTCAATCACGCCCGGTTCTCGTGGTGGAAGAAGAGACACATAGATACCAACAGTACAGTTTAGGTCAAATTTCCAAAGTCTTAAACTTGAATTAGAAGAGTCCATATAAACTGAGGTATTTCACCAAAGAAAAGCAGCGGCATACACACGCGTGTGTCTGTGTGCACACGGTACATTCGAGTTCACGTACTTCCTCTAGCCCTGGTCACAGGAAAAGCCCAGAAACAGTGATTCGGTGTGAGGAAAGGAAGAGATTCAACAGAAGTCCTGTGACAGTAAAAGCCCTTGGTTTAAATTACAAACATCAGTGTGAATTCATGAGGATTGTATCTTAAAAAAACGCAATAAAAAGCACGCATGTCATGTGTGTGTTTCTGCACAAAGAAACAGGACTGTGTGTCCAGGCGTGTGCACACAGAACATGAGGAACAGTGACCGACCCCACGGCATCGGGGTCCACGGGCACCCAGACCGTGGTCTTGAAATGCCATTTCCCACTAAAGAGCCCAAGGAACTAAGAGAAATGTGGAGGTTCTGCTGGGCCAGGCGATACCCGCAAAGGAAGCTGCCGCAGACCAGACGCCACACGAGGGCCCACGGCCAGGGTGGGCAAGGTGTCTGTCCTGCAAGGGCTGTCATACTCAGGTACCAAACAGGAGGCGAGGAGAAGAAGCTTCTCTTTATAAAAACAGCCCAGTAATAACAAAAAAAGAAACGATGGAACGAGAATGTCTTCCTTTTGCAGTTTCCAGTGACTGCATGGATCCGGTCAGTGGCACATCAGTACAATGGTCCTGACACGCAGACACGGAGCCCGACGGAAGCACACAGGTCCACCTCAGCCCTGGCACCGGGACAGACCCACTCCCAGGATGCAAGAAAGAGGAGGCCGGGTCACGGGGGCCTCCCCCTCAGCACACACCCGGCCAGACGCAGGAAGTCTGTGGGGGACACACCGCGTCGTCCGTCCCCCAACAGAGTGAAGGCAACAAGCAGGGAGGGAGGGAAGCCAGCGGATCCAGGGACTCTGAAGAACATGAGCACCCCGCGGAGACGAAGCAGCAGCTACGGCACACAGCTGTCCTGTGTGGCTCGGGGTCTGTGTTTTATACCAAAGGCCCAGCAGGGCCGGCAGCAGCACGTGGCCTTCTGCCCAGGACAGGCTCTGGGTTGGAACACAGTGAGGGCGCTTCCCCTCCCTCTCGTCAACCGGATTCAGAGGCGGAGTGCCTTCCGCTCAGAGGGGCGTTTCTGAAAGCAGAGGAAGGTCGGGGTGGCGCTGGGGGGCCAAAGTGAGCAGAACCCACCCCCCACCCCGGGGGATGCTGCACTGCAGACTGGGCCCTGCTTCTAGGGAGGGGGCTGCCTTGTACCTGACTCGCTAGATTTCATCAAAACAGAAGTTTCTGGGGCGCCTGGTGGCTAGTTGGTTGAGTGTCTGACTCTTGGTTTCGGCTCGGGTCATGATCTCATGGGTCCTGAGATCCAGCCCCACATCGGGCTCCACGCTCAGCAGGGAGTCTGCTTGAGATTTTCTCTCCCTCTGCCCCTCCCCCTGACTCACTCTCTCTCTACAATAAAAATCTTAAAACAAACAGACAAACAAACAAAACAGAAGTTTTTAAGATGCTGAGGTCAGCTGGTAAAGGCAGGCATTTTAGTTTCTCTTGGCCAATTAAATTTCCGTGCGTGGGTTATTAGTATGTGAGTCCCAGGAGTCCTGAGGTTTGCACGTGTAGCATGGACAGAAATGCACACTTTGATTAAATGTTGTAACTCAAGAAGTAGACTGACTGGCATTTCTAAAAGATCCTTCTCAAGGGGAAATTCATCAGGATCCAGGCTCTGAAGTGGGACGAAACTCCAGCTCTTTTCACAGAGATGTGTACATGACTCTGTCCCCTCACAAGCTAGTCAAGGTGGTCCAGGAGAAGAAAAAGATTTCAGTTTTCTTCTTAAACCCTAACTGCTATTTACCTAAATAATGTTTTAGAACATAAACGCCACTGACAGCCCTGGAACACCCCCCATGCAGCTGTGACCAGGAGACCATACTCTTCAGCACCCGTGACAACGGCGGCCCCACTGGGCTGAGGGGTCCCGCCTCGCACCACCATGTTAGATGCACACTCGACAGCTACAGAATCACCGCAGCACTCCCCGTCTAGACCCAGGCACCGAAGGACGAGCCCGCAGGACCGGGCCCTCAGAGTGCGCCACCGCCCCGAGTTGCGGATTACCTGAATCACACCCTGGTTTTTATAGCCTCTGCCATAATACCGTCCACCTCTTCCAAACGTTCTGATCACCGGGGTGGAAATAACTCCCCTTGGACGCCTGAATGGATAGAAGATGACAGAAGCACACAGGCTTGAATCTGCTAAGACAGCTAAGGCATTTAAAATGACGTCCATCTCATGCAGTCAACTTGTGTCACGCCATGGATTTATCCCAACATTCCAAGAAATCAATCTTATGGTTTTGGTCCATATCCAGTGCATTCAATTTGAAAAACAACACACTTCAAAAATGTTACTTTTTTTGAATATTGAAAAACAGTTAATTGAATAATGTGTGCATAATTATTTAATAATGGTTAAAACAACTACATAATACTATATATAATGGAATCCTTTGTAACCACAAACTGGGACATCAAAGAATGTATCTAATGATATAAAAATGTTCCTAGTAAAGTCATAATTGGAAGAAGAGGCTGTTTTCTTATTAATACAAACACATTTTCAGAACTTACCCTCTTGCTGGTCCTCCAACAGAAACTACCTGTAGGGGGAAAGGCCCACGGCCCCCACGGCCCCGTCTGCTCCCAGCCCAGTGGCCAACCACAGTGCCAGCTATCTCTAGCTTCCCTCCCTGAGAAGGTATTGGCTGGATTCCTGCAGAAAAAATAGAACAAATCTTGACAATCACAGAATTAAAAATAGCAAAAACAAGCAAGCAACTTCTTTTCAATTGTGGTTTACGTTTCATATAAAACCCCCTTCCCTTGTTTTGTGAAGACTTATTTATTACATAAAGTATCTATGTGCACATCATTTGATTTTAATGGTTTTTGTTTTTTCTTTTTTTTTTTAGATTCATTTATTTGAGAGAGAGAGAATGAGAGACAGAGAGCATGAGAGGGAGGAGGGTCAGAGGGAGAAACAGACTCCCCACTGAGCAGGGAGCCTGATGCGGGACTCGATCCCGGGACTCCAGGATCATGACCTGAGCCGAAGGCAGTCGCCTAACCAACTGAGCCACCCAGGCGCCCTGATTTTAATGGTTTTAACTGTTGTTAAAAATACACCTGAGAGTCAGCAAACATGTTGGCTATTCATAGAACTCATGGCAATTGAAAAGCTACAAATGCAAACTGTGCAAGGCTTTTAGCCTGAAATAGGTTCAAGAAAGTGCTGCCACTGGGTGCTCAGGAACCCCCTTCACCACCAAGGTGGACACCTGCAAACTCAATGTTTTCTCTTCCCATAACTGCTTCCAAGTCTCCTGCCTTCACCAAACATTACAGAAGTTAACCAGTAAACGTGGCTGCTATTTCTCACTGTATTGTTAAATTAGAATTCCTTTACGTGGGGTCACAAACATCCACTGTATTCATTAACTTCTATTAGCTACATACAGCCTGCATTTTCTAAGGTTTTCTGACTAAACTAAGAAAATTCTCAACTAACTGACAGCAAAACTTCTGATAAAAACCAAGCAGAACAGAACCTCAGGCTTCTTCTTTCCTGGCAGATGGAATGGGTTCTAACACACTCTCCATCATCCAGGTGTTCAACGTGACAGTTGGCTGACACACAGCCCACAAGCAGATCTACGACAAGCCTCACATTCCTAACAGCCACACTGAAAAAATACAAAAACAGATGAAATAGGTTTCGATAATGTTTTATTTGACCCAATATATCCCAAATAGTATTATTTCAATGTGTGATCAATGTAAAAACTACTAATTAGATATTTTGTATTCTTTTTTCTATGTTAGGTCTAAAATTGGATGTGTATATTGTGTTTAGGGCCCAGCTCAGCTTGGACGAGCCCAGGTCAAGTGCTCAAGAGCCACGGTGGCCGACGGTTACTCCACTAGACAATGCAGAGCTGAGCTCCAGACACAATTTGGGGGAAGTTATGAAACAGGTTCCCCTTGCCATTTCAGCCCAAGAAACAACTACTTTTTTTTTTTAAGATTTTATTTATTTATTTGAGAGAGAGCAAATGAGAGACAGAGAGCATGAGAGGGAGGAGGATGAGAGGGAGAAGCAGGCTCCCCGCCGAGCCGGGAGCCCGATGTGGGACTTGATCCCGGGACTCCGGGATCATGACCTGAGCCGAAGGCAGTCGCTTAACCAACTGAGCCACCCAGGCGCCTCTCAAGAAACTACTTCTGACCCCACAGTGTCCATAGCCACCAGCCCACCCAGAGTTGTATCCCAACTGCACACTGACATGAGTGTCCAGACAAGGGGTGCACGGAGCTGAAGCCAATGGTGAAGCAGAGAGCACGAGTCACTGCATGTTGCATGGCGTGGGCAGGAAGAAAAGCGCCGGTGGGAGGCAGGAGAGGGGCATGCGGGGCCGGTGAGGGGGAGAAATGGCCCCAGAGCCCTGGGGGGGGGGTAGGGGGCGCTGCACTGGCCTGCAAGTCTTTACTGCTCCAGAAGAGCTCTCCCTCCAGCCCCAAGGAGCTGAGCTGGAAAAACATCCCTGGGCAGGAGAGAAAGACTTGCCTATCCTAAAGTTACTCAAAAATGTATCTGAAGAGCCCTGTAATGTGGATGGGATGGCCGGGTCTAACTCTGCAGTCCCAAAATACAGGACATGTGACAAAGCTACTTGTCACAAGCTCTAATTACAGCAAAATCACAAGACGTTATTTCAAAACTAAATGTTAAGACTTTTTTCTCTCTTGTAAGACTAACACATACAAGAAGAGAAGCGAAGGGAATTTAAAATAAACTCATTTGTATATGTGGTATTAGAACTTTCTGTAAAAATGTTTCCTATGAAACAGTCTGTGGAAAGTTTTTGTGCCAGGAGTTCTGCTACGGCCTCGGAACCTTCTGCACCAGCTCGTCCTCTCTCGCCGGGGGAGCAGCCCACCAACGGGCACCGTCAGGCAGCCTGTCCCAGCACAGGAGGCGATGCTGGGGCCGGGCGCACCGGGCCATGTGCACACCCGATGGCCCCGCTGCAAGGCAGAGACCTGGGGGTGGAGGGGGCTGGAGCGGGCCTGGCGGAAGGGAGGCGGTGCCGGGCCGGGACAGCAGAGGGGGCCAGGCGGGGCAGCGAAGCTCTAGGAGAAGGCATGGCATAATTACCACCCTGCGACTTGCTAGTCCTGCTGCTGTCACCGCCGGAGAAGGCCCCGCAGTGCCCCGCTGCCGTTGCCACTCGGAAGGCACGGTAAGCGCCTGTCGCTACAGTCTCCCCATAGGGGCCTCCAAAGCCACAGACTCCTGTGGGACCCGGGTGGAGAGAGACGGAGAAGCCATGAGGAGCAGGTTCGGGGGGAGCCGCCGGTGGACTTCTGGGCAGAGCGGCCCCGTCTCCTCCAGCTGCTGCTCCCACACCACCAGCTGCCAGGAAGGGGGTCTCCCAGCCCCCCTCACCAGCACTGGAATAACTCTGAACTGTCAACCACAGGGGCTCAGCCACTGGCGGGGGGGGGAGGGGGGGCGGGGAGGGGAGGGTGGCCTTGGCGGAGAGGACTCCTCTGGCACCCCAGACGTGAGCCGACCAACCCTAACACCTAATCTCTGCCGCAGGCTGTATTTCCCTCTCTCCCTTCCTCATCACGGCTTCGGGAGTCGAGTCTGCACTGGTCTCTCCTGAAAAGCTGGTGCTGCAAACTTCATCACAAGCCTGACGATTAATTACAAGTTCCCAGCACAGCAAGACATGGGCCACCACGGGGCTACACGTGGTGCACATGGCATGTGCGCCTCTCCCCCCACACCGCCGGTCCCTCCCGAAAGCACCTGCACACTCACCTGCAAAGCCCCGCCCCCGGCCCTGAGCCGGGGGGACGGGCCCGAAGTGCCGGGGGTACACGGAGGCAGGGTAGAAAGGCAGCGCCGCGGGCGGCGGGAAGGGAAGTGGGTGGCTCTGCCGGGAGAGGTTCAGCCCTTCCAGGATGCTCTGCCGCATCTTTTCCACCTTGGCAGCTTGCTCAGCCTGCAAGTCAAGTGCCGGCACGTGAAAACGTGGCTCACAAGGCTTCACTTGAATTGGAACGGACGGGACAGAGTGAGACACGCCAACTGCCAGGACACGTCTGCATACTTCCCACAAGTCACGGTCTGCGTAGCCACACTTCGTACGGAAGGCAAGCAAGACTGAAAACGCAATGAACAGATCCCTCTCGCTCCCATGACCTCGATCCCAGACAAACATCAACTTAAACCCCGGCTTTCTTGGCTTATTTCCAGGCAAAACCATTTACCGCAGGAGTTCTTAATCGAAAGTGCTGTTTTGGTTCTGGAAACCAGCAGCTGAGTCCAGACAGGTCACGCTACAGCGCAGACAGTGCCCACGGACTGAGCGCTCAGGCCGGTGCGTGCTGCGCATGATACCAAGCACACTGAGACACAGAGGGTAACGTCAACCACACAGACGCGCCCAACACTGCTCATGTGCATCAAACCCACTGTGAAAAAACACCTACAACATTCGCCTGGAGTGTCTTTTGTTAATAAATCCACAAAGACATACAGCAACACCAGTTCTTGATCCGAGGCTCTGAAAACCCGCACACCCCATGAATCTGTCTTCAGACTGAGGCTGACTTGGGAGCCATGTGGCTCGGGGAGAATACGTAGTTAGAAGCCTGAAGCAAACGTGAGCCTCTTTCGTGCAACGGGACAAGATCACCTGACGGCCGACTTCACCTTATGCTTAAACCAGGATTTCACACAAGCATGGTCCCTCCTCATCCACGAGTTCCACGTCTGTGGATTCACCTATTGCTGAAATGTATCTGAAACCCCGAATCAGTGCTCGTGACCTTCTCGTGGCGATCTGCAGACCCGTGCAGAGCAGGGTGAGGTGGGAGGTGCCACCAGGGCTCTGCCATCCTGTTTCAGATTTTACACTGTCTACTTAGTGCCACGTTTCTGTGTTTCTGTGGGTGATTCTGCTGTTTGAAATGGGCCCGAGCATCGTGCTGTGTGCTGGCTAGTGTCCCTAAGTGCCAGGCTGTGGGATGTGCCTTGTGGAGAAAGCCCGTGTGTCACGTGCACTTTGTTCAGGCTGTTAGAGTGCTGCGGCCGCGAGGACAATGTGAGTGAGCAATATATGTCCATCGAGATGTCTGGCAACAGAAACACACATAAACAAGGCAGCGTATGGAGCTGCTGACAGAGATGTGGCCAGAGGCCGGTAGAAACCCAGCCCCGTATGACCCCCAGGAGCAAGGTTCAGTGTCCGGTGACTGAGTGCTCAGGCAGGTACAGCACGCCACCTCTACATCCGGAGCTCGGCGCCCGCGGCCTGCACGGTCACTCACGCACACGCGGGGCTGGCCCGGGCTCAGGAGCCAGCGCACGTTCCTGCATCCTGGTTTGAGGCGGCCAGCCCCTCCTCTCTGCCCCCCACCGACGTTCCCCGCAACTGACCTGACCATCACAGAGGTCGATGAGTGGGGTCTTTTCCCGGCTTGCTTTGAGGAGCTTGGACTGGAAGAGCTTCCCATCAAAATACATCCAAGGGCAGCAGTGCTCCCAGGGCACCGGCTGGCCACACGCGTCGTTCGCAAACAGGGCCATGTCCACGCCACTCATGAAGAGAGCTGACAGCTGAATGCCTCGGGGGTCGAGGTTCTCAATCTTTAAACGGAAAAGAGTGATTTCCGTGGAGTAAGAGCACGACAGGCCCCGCTTCTCGCGTCTGACTACAGCTCTCCACGGTTAACGTGGACACCCCTCCACCAAACGCCCCTAAGCACAGTGACCCTAGCGCTGGCCTACCTGAGCACAGACTTTTTATGTTACTTAACGGATTTACGTTTAAGACGCCGCTGTGTAAACATACTGCTTATTTCAATGTGGAACTGTAAAGCATTGTACCAGCGCACAGAGACCGCGCTGTGGCTGACGCCACAGTAACAGACTACCAGCAGTCTCCTGAGCGCCCAGGAAGTCCACAACTCACGCATGACAACAAATCACACCGCAGATCCTACATGCTGCCAACGTAGGAACAGAAAGATTATCACAAGGAACATTCTAGTAAGATTCTACATTTTTCAAGTCATTATATTAAAAAAGTACTCAGTATAATTTCATTCTAAAACCTGTACTTCATGTTTGTATCATTTTACATGTTAATGTTTTAGATAGCAACTCATTAATGAGACCGTCAAATGTTTCGGGAGAAATGGATAGCTTATAAATGGAGAACACAACAACAAAAACACTGTGTCTGGACCATGCAGACTATCTCTCCTGGCCCCCCCGCTGGTGCTGCCGCCCTCTCTGCTCGCACCTGGTGCGCTGGGCAAGGACCACTGACAGATACAGTCAACTCTTGATCGTCGGTCTACGAAGGACCTGGTTTGTGGATTACCCAGAACTGAGCTCTCACTGTCTGGCTTCTGTCTTCCTGCCCTGCACGCTTACTTTCTAAGGTGATGCTGTCCCAAGAATGCATTCTTTATGGGGCACCCACTAAGCAATGCCTAAAAGTGGCAGGTGCCCTGGCTTTTCATTAAAAAGGAAAAAAGTCATGCCCATGCCAGAAAATGATGAATTTATGAGCATCTGCCATTTCGTGCCAACATCCCCACAATCAGCTAACGCCGTTTTCCAACCTCTGTTTTTTGGATTTTTCCAAACCTGGAAAAGCCTGTCCATGCCCACAGCCTAGCCCACCGGCCCCTGCTTTGGGAGCGGCTTCTCTGGAGCCTCCAGCCTCACTGGGAGGGATACCCTGCTCGGCTGAGGGCAGGCAGGGCTGCATGATGGGGCTGGGTGCATTTTTATATTTATGAGCAGAAAACACAGAAAGAGAGGAACAAAATGGAGAAAGAATTCACTTGAAGTGGAAAAGTCCCTTCCCCTCTGAGAGTCTCGAAGCAGAAAGTGGGAGTGTTTCCTCCTGGAAAGCTGACCCTGGGAATGTGGCCTCGCAGTGAGGGGGCCACGGGGAAGCCAGGGGTGGCCAGTGTTGTCCCGCAGGGCAGCAGTGCCTTCTGGGGAAGCTGCTGCCAGCGCCTGGTCCCCGGTGGCGGCCACGTGCACACGCCACCCCTCACGTGCAGGACGGAGCCCACGCCGCCTGGCGGGCAGACGTGGAGGGCTCTCCCGGGCAGCTGACGGGAGGTGTGGGGAGTCAGCCTCACCCACACACATATCTACTTATTCTAAAAAGACTCACCATCAGTGAAAGAACCGTTTGCATGGGTTTCAAAAATGATTATCAAGTCATTTAGTTTTACTAACAACAACTACCATAATTTCACAGAAAAAATTCTCAAAATAAACGCTGTTTAAATAATGTAAATAAAATCTCAACTGCCGTGCAGACCTTGCCTCGTCCAAACAGTTTTCTAAATTACTTCACACAGTGTTTTGTATTTCCTTCCCTACATGCTAATTACACAAATAATGCTACGTAACACCCACAGGGACCGTGACACGTATGTATCGGGTACTGCTGTGCGCATTTTCACATGCATTATCTTGTTTACGTCTCGACCGCTGTGCAACACACACACCTCTCCTAGCACCCCACTTTACAGAGGGGGACACGGAGTCACAGAGTGCTCAGGGTCCTAACACCGGTCATCGGCAGCACCGGAGTCTGATCCCTGGGTCGCGGGTAGAGCTGCGATAGTTGCATCCCAGCCTCACTCCCTTACACCCAGGAAGAGAAAATCGTCAGCAGTATCCAAAGTCCCTCAACTAGAGAAAGTGACACAACTCTCTGACTTTATAGGAAATACAAATACGAATTCAGCCTCTGCCCAATTAGCTCAAGAACCAAATGCCAGTGAGGCTGCTCCCCAGCACCTCTCTGCCGGGCCGCAGACCCGTCCTCTGATTGGCCATGTTCACCTGCACGCACCCTGACTCTTACAGGCGCCACAGGGGCCTGATCCAGTCGTAGAGCTCCTCCTCCTCCATCTTTTATGTTCTGCACTGAGTAGGCGAAACTGTTACAAGAATTTAAAGCAATTATAAGGACATCAAGAGCAGGAGAGAAAGAAACTGGATAAATATCGAGCCTGTACAAAAGTCCTTCTCCCGACCCTTTCCCCGCCTTCCTCCAGGCACAGGGTCAGCGCTGATTTACCTTCACCACTACCTTCATGCGGGTAGCCTAAGAGAAGCACCTAAAAAATACAGCAGGGAAAACAAGGGCCCTTGATCCCTGTAGACCACATCTGCGAGGAGCCACGCCGGACACGCAGCTGTTCACGGTCACGGTGGGCAGACTGAGCACCCACAGACAAGCACTCCTACAAAGTCATTCTAAATTAATGCTTTCAACATCTTTCCCCACCAAACCTCCCATCAGAAAAGCCAACGAGAGGCCAAAGTCAGAACCGGGTCTTTTATTTTTCTTCTCCTTTTTATTCTAAAAAGCATAGAATGGACAAAAATGGGAGAAAAAAAATAGGGTCTGGGCAATCCACAAACTGGACAGAGGCCCCTAAGACAACCACCAAAATCAAGAGTTGACTATATCCCAAACAGTGAAATGGCATTTCACGGAAAAGCATCATCCTTGCTTTCGATATATAACAAATTTTAATGGTTAAATGAAAAAGCAATTTAAAAATTAACTTTTCTATCACTGAATTTGAGGACTCTCAGCTTTGCCTAGGGATTTCTGTAGCATTTAAATAATGATTATTCCTATCAATTCTCGATCTGATAGCTGAGAGAATCCTCAATCTTAAAAAAACAAAAAACAAAAAACTACCTTTCCCCCCAGTGAATACTATGTCCCCCTTCCAGCTCCACGGAATCTGGGCTGCTTGGAGTGAAGTGCCAGCAGTGCAGGCCGTCCTTGAAGGGAAGGCGGACCTCCAGACCAGCAAGAGCCGAAGGGACAGTGGCAGGCCTCAAGTCACTGCACATAAAATGGGTCTTTCTAAACACAGCTCTAGAAACACCTGGCTTCAGAGGAAGGATCAGGAGAAAACCATGAAGGCACTAAGACCTCAAAAGAACCAAAATGAAAGCTTAGGGTGTGGCTGTCTTTCAAAAGTTACACCCTGTGTGTTGATCCAAAATGAAAAGGATATGGGAGAGAAGATGAACTTTGAGGAAAAGCAACTTGATGGTGAGTAAGGCTTGGTGGGCATACCTGATACCTGGCGGTCTGATTTTCAGAACTGGGATGTCAATACTGATGTAATAATCTAAATAAGAGAAACAGGAAGTAGAGGTAGAGGGATGGCACCACACGCTAGTCAAAGTATTCACAACACCCCTGAGCACAGGCTGGGGACGAAGACAGAGCTATGGCACCACCAGCCGGGGGCACGCAAGCGAGAGCCTGCGCTGAGAGCCAGCCTTTTGGGGACACCCAGCCAAATACTCTAGAACGAAAACTTAAATTCAAAAACATTACAAATAAAAATAATTTCTGTCTAACAAACAGAAAAGCTTGATCTGCAAAGTAAAGAATATAATTTGGGGTGGGTTCTAAGTTTTGTTGTCTTATTTATTAGCTTGTGTCGAAGTCATCAGAAGCCTAGGGCGACCACGTGTGACCCAGGGCTCTGCACAGTCGAGGGCCACTCAACACCAAATTACTGAATATAACTAAATAATTCAGGGGAACCAGACATTGATTGGGCCCCAACTGTGGAATACTGAGTATCTATAAAGCGAGCCCCAAACAGCCCTGCAGGGAAAGAATGCCTTCATAAAGAATGGCTAAAAGATCTAAAAGTGAAGGCAATTTGTCAAAAGAGATTATTTGATTACAAATCAAGTATTAAAAAACAAAAACAAAACAAAACAAAACTATGTCAAGGGAAAAAAAAACAAAAACCCTGTACATTAAAAAGAAAAGGTAGATCCACTGATTTAGCTAACTCTGGAAAGTCTTAAACTTTCTAAAGTTTAGTACAGACATTATAGAAAGCGAGTACAGCTGTGCGAACACAGCGACTAACCCAAGTGCACTGAAAAGATAAGCACCCCGAAAAATCAGGGGACCACTTGGAGAAAATTAACGTTGCCAAAACAATAAAGAACAAAAGGAGTTACTGGAAGGAAAACTTAAAAGGAATACGATGTTAAATGCTAAGCAAAAGGGGCACAGGGATGATGGCGTAACTGTTCCTCAAGTGGCCTTTTAAAGGGGTTTACAATCGAGGAGGGCCAAGACTATTTTTTAGAGAAAACGAATGCTGTTATTAGGAACAACAGAACGAAATGAGAAAAGAATCCTGGCCAGATGTGAGAAAATCCTGAAGACCAAGCCCTCCCTGGGGTTCGGGGTCCCCACCTGAAACAAAAGCAAGTTTACTTCCTGATGTGAAAATAAGAGTAAACGCCCCCTGGTAACGAGGGAAAACCTCTATCGGATAGAAGCTGACTTGACGGTTTCCATCACCCGGAAGGATACTGCCTTTGCCCTGAAGGCTCCCAGGTCCGCAGCTCGGTTCTAGTCTAGCGCTCTGAGCGGCTCTGCCCGGTGAGGTCAGCCCTCATCACAGAAGTCCGAAGCAACGCTTCCCAACACAAGGAATGAGGCTTGTCCATTACCTTGAGCTCCTGCAGCTGGTCAGGCTCATAGAGTTTGGGGGACAGCGCCTGAGCCAGGAAGGCGTCCAGCTCCTGGCGACGCAGGATCCGTGCTCCAGGCCACTGCACCATATACCTACAGGTGGACAGAGAGGGTCTGGTGTCAGGATGGAGCGGTCACCAGTCACACACACAACCTGGCATCCAGGTTCTTGGGACACTCAGATGACATGCGCTGGGCGGGGGGGACCACCGAGAGTGCTCCCCCAGTGTCTTTATGCGCACCGCATGATACCAGCTACAAACGTGTGTCTCATCCCCTGGGCTCAACACAGTGTTTGCTTTCAGAGTGATTAAAATAGCACACCACATCTGCACACGCTGCAAAGCAGCTGCTCAGTGATTTCTGGTACAACTTCACTCTGGTAAGGTATTCAAACCCTGAAAATACAAGGTAAGCACCAATTTACATGATTTATTTATTTCGATTCAAGACCGGATACCTGGAAGGCAGACTCTAGGTCCAAATAAAAAAGACGCAGCTTCTGATGAAGAGCGAGTGTTGCGGGAGACCTGTGCACGCCAGAGGCTCCCGCACCGCAGGAGAGCGCCAGGGGAGGGGACAGAGCGGGGCCCAAGGGACCAGAATGGACACCACGGCCTCCAGACCAGTGCCCACAACCCTTGGACACGCTGACCTCCCGGGGGCAGCTCTGGTGTGAGCAGCTGGAGGTGAAATCGACTTTTAAGATTTTTAAATTTTTATTTATTTGACAGAGAGAGCACAAGTAGGCAGAGTGTGAGGCAGAGGCAGAGGGAGAAGCAGACTCCTTGCCAAGCAGGAAGCCCGATGCAGGGCTCGTTCCCAGGATCCTGGGATCATGACCTGAGCCGAAGGCAGACGCTTAACCGAATGAGCCACCCAGGCGCCCCTGAAACCGACTTTTAAATCTGAAACATCCATCTGCGCCATCTGCCTGGGAACCGCCAGGCATCCATGGTCTTCTTCCTTACTCACCTCGCCACAAGCCCTGCCTCCATGACAACTCCAGCCCCGGCCTGAGGCTCCGCAAGAGCCCGAGGGCCCCAGTCCTGCACTTGGCAAACCTGAAGGACGACCCAGTCAAGTTGCCGCTGATTGCTAAAAATAACCTGGGGTGACAGACCCCTCTGTGACCTCTGATGGGTGGCTCAAAAGGAGCAGAGACAGCCGTGACATGCCTCACAAAGCTCCTTCCAGTCCTGTCTCCTGAGGAAGTTCTCTCAGAGCTTAAAATCTAAGTCAACAAAAGGAGGAACAAGGTGGTGTGGAGCCCTATTTTGGTAATAATCAATATTCCTCCACGGGAACGTGAGTGAACAGGCAACAAAGGAGGTTCCATCCAGCAGATTAGGAGAAGTATTTTCAATAAAAACCGGTACCAGGGACCGGTCTACACAGGCACATACCACCTCCAAGCCCCGCGGCCCCAGCAACCCCAGGGCAGGGGCTACCCCGCCCCACCTGAGAGATGGGGACACGGCGGCAGAGCTTACGTGCTTTGCAGGAACATTACATGGTGCGAGGAAGAAATTTCAAGGCAAACAAACGGTAGACGCTGCATCTGTATGGTATTTAGATTTAGCTGGATGTCTTTAACGGAGATGTAAGCTTCACTTGGTTGAGCGGTCGATGTCCGCAGGGATGAACACCGCAGCCCTGCAGGGGGTGGGTGCCGTGTGCCTGGGGGACTACGGTCTGCGTCTGGGCTCGATTCGAGACAGCGGGTGTGCACGAAGGCCCCCACTCGGACAGCAGTGGCCGTGGGAAACACTGCTCCGTGTACAAACTCCAGCTGCACACCTGGCTGCTCCTGTATCGTGATGAAACGCGCAGAACACGAGACCTGCCATCGTGAGCACGTGCACGTGGACAGCGCTGGCCTAAGACCCGCTCAGCGTTGTGCGCCCACCAGACACAAACACCTCTCCCAGCACCCGTCCCCCGTTCCTTTTAAAATGATGAATGAGAAAAAAGGCCGTCTTGGGGACAGACTGGTTTTGTTGGCAGCAAAGACTCTCCAAAGTCAGTTTAGCTGAACAACAATGTTTTTGGTTAGAATCCCTGGTATGTCCCCCGTTTGGCTTTCTATTCACATTTTCACAGAACCAGCATTCACCTCTCTCTTTCTGGACACACAAGGGAGCGAGGCATGTGCGGACAGGTCGGACTCAACCACACCACACAGGCCATGCCCACGGTCATCAGTAAAGGTGACGGACAATGGCCTGGCCTGCTCCCCCGCCTGCCTGCCACGCCACTCCACATGAGCAGACAGCGGGAGGCTGTCTGTGGGGCCAGGCAGAGGCAGGTCCCTGTGTGACCCTCCTGGGAAGGCTATGCTTCCTAGGGTGCGGGCAGGCACAGCTGCCACCAACTGTCTGCGTCTCGCTTGGGGGCTCAAGACCTCCACCCCCTTACCTACCTACTGACCTGAGTCCCACCAGGACGGAAGCCAGCCCGCTGCTCAGGAGAACGTGAGCGCGCTGGGATGAGGGCCTGTCTTGGCTGTACGCTGGAAAAGCCGCCTTCCGCCCTGTTCTGAACACTCGCTCCACTCCCACACGGAACCTCGGCTCAGGTGTGCACCCCACCCCACCCCCCCTTCGTGAGGATGGTTCTAGAGATCTGGCTGCCATCCTCCCATCCCCCCCTGCTGTCACACTGTCAAGTGCCCCAGAAGGGACACAGGCATCAAGATCCTGGAGGCAGGAACCAACCTCACTGGAAAGAGACACTGGAACACACGGACCGAGAAACAGTCTAGTCAGGGGCAGACGAGCGGCAGCCAAGGTCTGGGAACCCATTTGTACGGACAGCTTCCTGAAGCTGCTGCCCCGTTAGTTCACGTGCTGTCCACAAGACGGAACATCTGCAGACAAGCCAGTGTTCGCTCCGCATCAACCCAGGGGAAGCCCAGACGCTTCCAGGACTGGAAGAGACTTGGCAGCTGAACATAAGCACGAGCAGCGATCTCCTGTTGCTGATGCACATCACTGGACAGCAGGCAAAATCTCACAGAGACATATGCACGAGCTGAACTAAGATGACTTCTCTGATTTTGACAGTGTCTTTGTTTTTAGAAACACACACCCAAGAGCTCAGGGACAGAGGCATCGCACCCACAACTTCCACTCAAGGGCGTGTGGAGGGAGTCTGGGTGAAGGACAGCCGCAAACTCCTCAAACCCCTCTCACAATTTGCTCAAGTTCGAAGTTATGCAAAACAAACGAACAAAACCCAAAAAGGAAAAACAAGGAAAGAGAAAAAGAAAGGGAAGCCCTGTGGCCGACCCCCAGCCCTGCCCCACGCGGCCACCACAGCCAAGGGTTAGCGGCCTCAGGCTTACGCGCCCCTCTTGCTGCCCGATGTCGCCGTCTGCAGCAAACTAACCTGCTCTCCTTGGATTTGCAGATCACTGGCCTTGAGAGTGAAGGACCAGTCTCTCCCAAGAGATAAGGCCAGACCACATTCAAAAATACCTGCCACGGAGGCCAGCAAGTCTGTCAGGGTCCCGTGGACATAGAGCCGACTGCCTGGGCACCGTGTCTCCCGCTCACAGCCCCCTCCCCATTCCCTGCACCTCCCCCTCTAAGACCCTCCCGCTTGGCCTGGACGGGGATGGTGGCCTTCCAGACATTAATCCACCCTCTTCCCCGGTTGCTGGCTTTCTGAATAAAGCGACCTCTCTTTTCCCACCATCACTTGTCTCTTGAACGTTGATTTTTGAGAGGCGAGCTGCCGAACCTGAGTTCAGAACCGGTTCTGTCCAGGAACGGTCATCTGCTGGGCACCCACAGGGCCTTATCACCTCCCCTCCCGGGACCTAGGCCCGACCCCAGGGCCTCAGGAGCACACATCAACCCTGACCCCTCCTCCTGGCCCTTCCACGCACCACCCCCTCCAAACTGTGAGGCCTCGACTCAGCCCACCCCCATGACCTGAGGTCGTACCGTGGAGCCAAAGGGGACCATGCAGTGCGTCTGTCACCTGCCTGTCCCCAAGCCCAAAATGCAGAAGGTAGAACAGACTCTCCTAGTGGAAGTGGACCAGCCTGCTTACAGGAGGCCCCCAAGCCCCCGGGGACTTGTCCTGTGAACCGCAGTCTCTCACCTCTTCCTGACTTTGTCTCCTCAACCAGCTCTACCTCTATAGGACCTGAAACCGTGAGAGGCTCTCCACGCAAGAAACCCCAGGTGTCTGCCCATCTCCACAGCCAAGCAAGGCACCTGCCTCCCACCAGAGTGCTAGAGCCTCTCGTGACATGGCCAATCACATTTACTAATCGTCCCAAGTTCTAAAATGAGTATATTTTCTATAAACAACCATAAAGATTGTCTTAAAAATGGGGACCAGGACAATCCTGAAATCTGGAAGACTTTACAAAGGCCTGGGGTGATGGCCAAGGAGTGGCCACGAGGACAAGGACAGAGACCAGGAGAGGAGGGCAGCCTTGGGTGTGGCAGGTGGCATCCTCTCTCCAGGTTGATGGGACGGTCAGCTGTCCACTGGGGTAAAGGCCACACACCAATTCAAACTTGGAAGAGAGAAATACAATCAACTAAATTTGTTCTTGCTAATTTGATCTTAGAGCATCGAAAATCTTCATCTCTAATGTTTGGCTACATATATATTTACTGATAAAAACAGGTCCATAAATGAATTTTCCATTTGAGGAAAACAGAAGACTGGAAACAAAAATCTAGTCTCTCCCACGAACCAATCCTCAATACGCTTGTGCCAACCCCAGTTTAGAGAAGGAGAGGCTTCTACATGAGTCACTGACCTTAAAGCCTGTGATGAATTTAAGAAACGTCAGGAAATGAACATCGACTAAAGCTCTGTCCCGTCCTCAGCCCAGGGTGAGAAACAGGGGAGTCAGGGGCCAGGGAGGAGGGACACACAGGGCTGGACCCCCAGGCTCTGATGCCAGGCTCAGAGGCCGCCCCGTGGGAAGGGTCCAAAGGCATGCGGCACCTGCTTACCAGAAACACCCTGGGAGGGCCTGGGAGGCCGTCTCCACCCCTAGGAAGCAGGGCTGCCTGGAGAAAGAGAAGGGTGGTGCTCCTAGGATGATGGAGACCCATCAGGAGAACACACAGGCCAGGCCGACACGGCCCCAGCCAGTGACAATGAAGCACCAGATTTCGTGATGGCAGGAGTGGCCTAGGGGCCCCTGAAGAAGGCAGAAGCTGTGAGTCCACGGAGGTCTGAGGAGGAATGGAGTGTTTACACAAACAGCCTCCCACGGAACGTGTCCTAGCTACACAGGGGACACAGCGGCCCCACTGGAGAAGCCTGTGGACACCTGCCCCGCCTCACGGTCAGGGTGCAGGCACACAGCCCCCGCAAGACCACAGCAACTGAAGGGCTGCTGCACCTTCAGGGTTTGGCGGAAAAACCAACAGGACTTTACCTCCAAACACAAACAGAGGCTCTTAAACGGACCCTGAAGTTAGACAGAAATAGGCATGATGTCGATCCTGATGACTACATTGTGCTTGTATCAGAAAATGCCCTTGTTTGTTCGAAAACCACACTCCAGTATGTGGGTTAAAAAAGGCTCTATTTTGCCCGCCCCCATCACCTCCTGCTCTGCAACCACCAGTTTCTTCTCCGTATTAGGAGTCTGTGTGTGTGGTGAGCACTGATAATACACACGACTGCTGAGTCAATACGTTGTACGCCTGAAACTAATATAACGTATATTAATTACACTTCAATCAAAAAAATTAAACTCTTAAAACAAAAAAAGCTCTTCGTACTGTACTTGCAACCTTTTCCTAAGTTGGAAATTGGTTCAAAAAACTAATGAACCTAGTTCAGCTATGCATGCCAGCACGAACTAACTCCCAACACCAACAGTGTCCACACAGGCATCCGGGACCCGTCGGCTGAGGGCATGCCAGCATGCAGGCCCAGATCCGGGTTTTCGATCCCTCTCCAAGGGGCAGGAGCCGGACCCCTGGAGAAGGCAGGGTCCAGAGCGAAGCAGGCATCTTGTGGTACCAGAAAGCAAGAATGTGCTGGGGGCACAGAGGACACAAGAGCCCACCGAATGAGCCCCGAGGCCTGAGCTGGAACAATCTGAGCAACCAAATAAACAAGGATACATCAGGTTATAACCCTAGGAAGAAAACAGATAACCACAAGTCCGTACCGATCTACACGTGATTAAAAGAGCTACCTCTGCCCTTCAGAACTCCAAACGACACATAACACGCACAGCCTTCAACATCTCTAACGTTTAAGGGAGAAATTCTGTTTAAAATCAGTATGATGTTTACATACAGTACACACATACAGCCATCCCATCAACATGCCACACAGGATCAGTTCCAACGCACACTGCATCTCCATCAGGCGAACACGGGAGGGGGACCGCTCCGCATTCACACGCACGGCGTCTGGGGCGCCGGCCCGCCTACCGTAGGACGCAGCACAGCACCGTGAGGTGGGTGGGCACGCTGGCCGGGTTGAGCATGGCGGGCGTGTCTGACCTCATACAGGCCAGGAAGGCCCTCATCCTGCGGTTCTTGTCTTCCACCGCCTTCCCCAGCCACAGCCGCTTCAAGTTGGGGCAGGTCCACTCCCTGAAGGCAAGCGCTTCCACCAGCTCTGGCGTCTGCGGCGATTTCCCCTTGTAAGCTGCCCACTCTTTAATGATCACAGGCGGAACTGGAGGAGGGAAGAGCAGAGGAGAACCATTCACGCCCAGCTCAGCCACTGGGAGCCGAAACATATCCAGCCCTCCAACAATTACAGTCTGCAGAGGCCACCGCTCACACGTCAATGCATTCTCTCATCAGCAAGCCACCGGCCACCAGTCCTCAGGTCTAGAACGTTCTGTCCCCTACACACTTTCTTGTGGCTCAATCAGATTTCCATTCAGGCCACTGGTAAGCTTCTCCTCAATCAAATCATGTCTTGATTTCCCCACACAACTAAGATGTACAAATCAAGGATGTTGGAAAAAATTTATTAAGTCTGTTACGTTTTAATATTAACAACTGGGAAAATTTACAGAAGTATATGATTATCACGGAAATCCAGTTTAGATAGCTAATCTTTTTCTACACAGACACTTTCACTATCAGATTTGAGAAACAATCCGCACTTGGTGCCACTTCGCTGGGAGGTCCCCTTCTAAACTGTGTTCTTAAAGATTAGTAAGAATAAGTGCCCTGCAGTGAGACCCTAAAAGCCCAGTAAGGCGGCAAACTGAGGCAAGATTCAGTGTCTTGAAATCCCAGGTGATGTCAGCACATGGTAATTCTATTCAGGAAGACTGAAGACAAAGCATAATAAAATTCCCCATTTCGCCTCCAAAAAGGCAAGAAGGTCTAAGCTGATCTAATACGAAACAGTGGGCTCTTCCCCATAGCTGTCTTACCACTATTCGAGTCCATTAATTCTTAAAGCACAAACAAAACAAGCACCTCTTCCCACATACATTTAAATCCAATAAGAGAAAAGTGTGACAGGGGAGTCACGGTGAAGACATGGCACACCACAGGGACCGCGTCCAGTGTCCCCTCGCTGCACTGAGGGGACAGGCCGATGCTGGGCTTTGGGTGTGCGTTTCCCGGGCAATGAAAGCTCACTTGGGCCCATGACTGCTGGAGCAGAAGTGGGAACCAAGAAGCAGCCAGCGTGACCCACCCAGAACCAGATGGCACCGGCACTCCACTGTCCTCTTCCACAAGGCCCTTCTACCCAAACAAGAGCATCCCAGATGGGCTCACTTTCCCGAAAGTACCGCCCAATGCAGACGGGAGACTGAAGGCCCAAACTCTGGTGGAATGAGCGATGGACCACCTGCAGCTCCACCCGGTCCTGTCTGCACAGGGTCCTGGAGGATGTAGGCAGCCAGACACCTGGACACACAGGGCATCAGCAACAGGACAGCCAGCTCCGCACACCCAGCCCCAGACAAGGCAGGGAAAGGTGTGCTGCCATGGAGCCCTGGGACTCCCACCCCAGGAGCAGGCTGCTGGAGCAGGGTGCCGGTCAAGATAGCTCCCCAAAATTGTCTTCTCACAAAAAAGTTACTGTTTTGTCACTGGGAAAATCCCTTCCATTCACATTTGAGTATCTTAACATTTAAACACTAAAGAAAAATCTAAAATGTGTAAAATACTTAAAGTCCATTAAGCGCAAACAGATACACATGTATACATAAATACGTGCATCTTTGTATTCATCCGTCTTTTGAGACGTCAGACACGCACCCACGCAGTCCCTGTCCTTGGACTCACAATCTAGCCCCACACCTGCCAGGCCTCGGCACACGCGGCCTGCACACCGGCAGCCGTCACCACCACAAGGCCCCCTCAGCCCAGCTAGTATCAGGGGCTGGCAGTCATCAGCCCCAGATAAACAGGACAAGGTTGGTCACAAAACAAGCCCTTAACCAGCAGGCTGCTGTGTGTCTACTGGTTAATCCGCAGTGTTCATTTCCCTGCCAAAAAAAGCAAAAACGCACAAATCTATTTTGAAACATATTCATTTTGGTGGCAAAGGTTTAAAGGCACACTGGTTAGATTTTATCTCTGTAGGATTCGCTAATCTAGGTTCTTTCACTTTCTCCCCACCACACGCGCACGCACGCTCACGCGAGGCAGCTGCCCCTTGCCAGGTGTCTGATCTGAGCCCTCTCTGGGAGGCGTCCCCACTAAGTCCATCTGCACCTCTGTCCCCACTGCTAACACCTGCCACAGTCATTCTACTTTATTGTGTCCTGCTTTCATCTAGAAACAGGTTTGGGCAGCACCCTCTTGTTCTCGAGGTCCAGGCCCCACATGGAAGGGGGGGTGGGGGGCATGGAGGCAGCCCCTCACGCCCGCCTGTCCCCACTCCCCCCGGGGCTCCCCAGACAGCTGTGCACACATCTTCCAGCTGGCAGAGGCCGCCGGGGACTGCCTGCAGATGCTGCAGGGGACACGCTCTGCACCCACCAGGAGCGAGGGGGGGCAGGGCTGCGCTCCCTGTGAAGGAGGGGTCCCGTGTAGTCACTTCCTCTTGTCGTTCTAAGTATTTTTGTTGCCTAACTGCACTACTCATGAACAGCTGGAATCTAATTTAGGAAATACAAGGGAAGGAACACAAAACTTTGTCCCGAGAGCAAAGCTGCTCCTGACTTGCTTTACCTTTAACGTGTGTGTATCTGCTTCTGGAAGTCTTCTCACGTACCATCACTTAACAGTGGTGGAGCCTGTGGCCAATCACCTCATAGGTATTTATTGAGCACCTTCTATGTACCAGGCGGGGGCGGGGAGCTGGGGAGGCAGGGGAGGCTCAGGGGCCAACCGCCACGTGCCACGCGAGACCCAGGGTGTCCTCAAACCCTGATGCCCAGCCCTGGGACCAGGTACCACAGAAAGGGGCCGAGGACTCACCCTAAGGCAACCTTGAGAAGGAAACCCAGGCACCTCCTGCCTGTTATGTGGCTACAGGCTACCTTGTGTGAGGTTGACCACAGTTAACTCATTACAGCCTAGTGCTGATCAAGGATCCCAGGGACGGCAGTTTCCAGGTGACGGCAGCCGTCCCTGTGTGCATGTCCCCATCCACGCACCCGCCCGGGACAGAGGGCTCAGGCTCTGTGACTCCACTCGCAGGGACAATCAGAAGGAGAGGAGCTCTAACAGCACAACCTCTGGGCTCCTGTGTTTGCAAAAAGCCCTGGTTACGTGCGGATCACACATGGGGAAGCCGGGGTATTACGGGCCCCCTGGGCACACGCGTCTGGCACTCAGACAACAGCACTGTGATAGATAAGCACGGCCGTGACGACCCCATGTTGTAGAAGACACGCCCTCATGCCCAGAAACCCTGCCGTGACGCCATCAGCGAACACTCACCTCAGCTTCTCCACCGACAGAAAAACTCACCCTTTCAGGCAGAACTGAAAACACTGAACGGGAGACTGTCTTCCTTCCCTCACGCTCAAGCGACATTTACATCGGCAAAAACAACTCCGGGTGCTGGTTTTCTGTACTGCCAGAGGCTACGTTTGCAACGCACCTTCTTTACGGGAAGTACGTCTTCAAAGTACAGTCTGGGACCTACTACGCTGTTACACCCGAGCTGCTGGTGAGAACCCAGCAGCTCCCTCGGACGGCAGGCACGGCCGCACAGAAACCCAGGGCAGCCAGCTGCCTTGCAAATCTGTTCTGACGCCGTCCCAGGCCAGGAATAATGAAAATGTTTCATTTCGTGAGCCAACTCCAACCAGCCGGCGGTGGCTGCCGACAGAGCCGCGTGATGAAGAATGCCTACGCCCAGGGCCGGCCACCGCGAGCACTAGCCACGCCCGCCACGGCCGGGGGTGCACGGCTGAGGGAGGAGAGGGGGACAAGCCACTCCCACGACCCCGGCCAACTGGGCCTGTGGCCTGCGGCCTGCGGGCAGGCGTGTGCATGCATGTAAGGAGGAGGACTGCCGTGCCTGCTGAGCCTCACGGTGCAGAAAAACAACTAAACCACACAAGTAAGTAAAAACAAAACCTGGTTCTTCTGCATCTATGCAGAAACAGAAAACTGGGCAAATGGCAGCTGTACCTGCCTCCTCACAGGAGTGGACACGTGAGGGGTGCGGCCCAGCTGGCTGCCCGCTCCCAACACGTGTGTGGGTGCCCTCCAGCACACGGTGCGAGGCCCCCCAGGCCGCAGAGCGCGGTGCTCCCGACATGCCCGCGACTACGCCCGCGACCACACCGGCCTCCTGCCCCTGCGCACGCCGCTCCCGGTGTGTCAGACCCAGGAGGGCAGGGACCCGGGACAAACACGGCTCCGAAGGAGGGCCACGACCTGCCACATGGAGCCGCCTGCCCATGCAGCTGCCCCTCGGGCTCAGCTGCTCACAGGTCGCTGAGGAAAAGGCAGTCGCTAATGCTACTCCTGGAAAGCTTTGTAGAGTAAGGAAACTCAGATAAATATAAACAGCCTTCACAAAATCACAGGGGAAATGTGTATGATAACCAAATTTCACACATATTAAAACAATGCACTAATATTGGTCATATTATTCTGTTCTATAATATAATCCACAGTGAACCAATTTAATTTTACTTCTTTTTAATCAGCAGAACCAATTACTTGGCACAAACAAAATTTCTAAAGCAAAAGCAAACTGCACCACGAAGAAATCCAGGTTCCCTTTGGCTTTTCCTATTTAGAAAGTGGAGACTTTCACCTCCTGTGTCTGTACCTTATGTCCCTTCACTTTCTAGAAGCCTGTTTCTCTTACTTAATTTTGAGGTCCTGGGGAGTCCTGAGGCTACTTTTTCTAAGGGGACAATAATTTGAAAATGTGCCCATCACTGGGTTTTACTTCCTGGATTTTTACCTCTTCCACCGTGGCCAGGAGTCTTGTTACCCTGCAGTCTTTTTGGAACCAGACCCCCTTTCTTCCTGCCCCTCCTGACTGCCCTGGTGGGGTGAGGGACAGCTGAGGGGCACCCCCAGGGGGGCAGCAAGCCTGGGGCCACCAGCAGGGCGGGAGCTTCATGCTCCAAGCCTCCAGCCGGACAACTGTCCCCAGGCCCCACCCAAGAGCCAGCAGCCATAAAGGCAGATCCCAGCAACTGCCACTGTCCCCATCCAGAACATGGGGCAAATCGCTTGTGCCAGGTCTGCGGTCTTCCACGTGGCCCACTGGAGGGGCCTGGAGCCCCCCTGCCGGTGACTTTGAGCAGCTAACTGTCGTAATAAATAAGCTTCTGATGAATTTCCTAACAGCAAACAATGGAACCCAGGGATGGACACACAGAAAATAAACTGCCAGCATGTAATTCAGTATGACTTTCACAGGCCAGAGTTTTTAAGGATCTGAGGGTGGATATCCCGCTTTAACCATATGACTTTAAAAATGAAACTTGCTAAAATCACACGAGCACTAGAGCACTTGTTAGAGATTATGAAACGCTTTATCCTGTGTCTTGATCAAGAGACCGCATTTCCAGGGCACCTGGGTGGCTCAGTCAGTTAAGTGTCTGACTCTTGATCTTGGCTCAGGTCTTGATCTCAGGGTCATGAGTTCAGGCCCGGCAATGAGCTCCATGCTGGGCATGGAGCCTACTTAAAAAAGAGAGAGAGAGACTGCATTTCCAAAGGGATACAGGTCTTAAATGTCGTGAGAGTTCAATATTTTTAAACAACCCTTTAGACTTCACGTGTCCTCCGACTGGTTCTCTCTGACAACAAAGCCCTCCTGGGGAGCCCCCAGCTGTCACGGCGAGCACGTCGAACCAACATCACGCTGACACCATGCTGGACCCGGAGCCTCCTCACCTGCTACAGACGGCGGGCTCACCTGGGACCCACGGAGTGGACGGCGGGGCCAGCAGGCAGCTGAGAAACAAACCTGCCCCAAAGACCTCATGGTGCACGGTCAGTGCTTTATGAATCTCCTGCAAAGTACCACTGACTTCATTTCATCCACAGATGGTCTAGGAGTGGCCACGGGTAAATCATGGTTTCAACAGACTCAACTTTCAAACCTAATCAACCGGGAACTCCTGAGCAGCAACAACAACCTCACCTCATCCACAGCCCCAAGGGCTTCCTCCCTAAGAACACCAAAATGTGCAATCACTTATGACATGTTTCAGGCGGGAAACCCACGGCAGGGGCATCACCACATCTGCGTTGAGTCAGCTGGGATCTAAGAGCAGGCTTCAGGGAGCAGTCCTCAGGGAACAATCGTAATGCACTGTAATGAGAGCTGAAGGTCACCACGTTCCTCTCTCACACAAGGTTTGCTCTGAGTAAGCTGCCAGCGTTGAGGCTCAAGGCTCACAAAAGCTCCTAAGGACAAAACTCTTCCCTGTGGAGAGCTGGTGCTCCAGTTAGCATGATCATCAGCAAATAAAGAGCATGCATTACTGACCTAAGAACCTTTTCTAAGGCTGTTTTCCCCTCATTAAGACAACCAATGCATGAAACAAATTCAAGTGTATCAGGTCCCCAAAAAGACCAGAGAGACCTGGGTTCTAAAGCCACCCATTACAGAGCTAACAATGGTCTCTTAACCTGTAAACTCAAGAGGTCAAATGGACACATCTTTACACCTAGAGGTTCACCGTTACCTGTAACCCACGTGAATCACACTTTTCTAGGTGCCACTGACGTCCCAGGGCTGGTTCACAGCTCCTTTCCCATTGCCTCAGTTCAGCCGCCTGTCCCTACCCAGCCCACCCTCCTGAACAGAAATGTCCCACCCTTCCTCACCCTTCGGTGGTTTCCCCGTGACTGACAGAGAAGTGAGAACCCACTTTCTTTCGTCGCCTGAGCAGAAAAACTACAATGCGCTCAGCACCAACCTCCCCCAGAAACTCAGCCGGGAGGCACCTGGGAGGCGCATTCAGTTAGGTGTCTGACTCTTGGTTTCGGCTCAGTTCATGATCTCAGGGTCGTGAGATGGAGACCCGTGTCAGGCTCCATGCTTGGTGCGGAGTCTGCTCAAGATTCTCCCTCTCCCTCTGCCCCCCCCCCCAGATCTCTCTCTTTCAAAATAAATTTAAAAATCTTAAAAAAAAAACCATACATATAAAAGAAACTCAGCCAGTCCACACGCCCCCATGCGCAAGAGCTTTAGAGCTCATAGAGCTCATCTATACCACTCCTCCCTTCTTCACTGTCCTCTCCCCACAAGTGCCAAGCCCCAACAGCGTGGTGTGTGTGCACGCCCAGCCCTGCACCACAGTGCACTGCTCTCTTGCTTATGACCAGAGGGTGCTGGTCTGTGCAGTGAGCACCATCCCGTGCCTCTGGCATCCCCCACTGCCTGCTCAGGGCCCAGTCGGACACCTGCACCGCCCAGGTGCGGAGCAAGCAACGAGGGGGTGAGCATGCTGTGCGGCACAGGGCCACACCGCACACCTGCAGCAGGGCAGAAACCCCCTGACTTCCTGCTGTCCCTGGCACCCGCAGCTCACCTGTGACAAAGAACTCCCGAGATGGGAAGAGCGCACCTGGCCACCACTGAGTGCACACAGAGCACAGCAGCCCACCTGGACTGCTCTGCAAAGCTGTGGGCACTGCAGAGGGGACCCATCCTGGAAAACTCCCAGGAGTGTGCTAAATACAGAGAACTGTTTCTGGAACATAACCAAATGAGGAAGAGAACAGCTTTCACCACGAAAGCCAGACTTGTGCTCCGGAGCTGAGGGCACAGCAGGGAGTGGGGCTGCCCAGCACTCTGCAGCGCCTGGCAGTCTAGGCCAAGGCAGAAGCAAGGGGACACGGCCCTGGAAGGGAGGTCGCAGCTGCAGGGCCTGGGCAGAACACTGGCCAACCCTGTGCGAAGCGAGCAACCCTCGTCCGGTGCAGAACACTGGCCAACCCTGTGCGAAGCGAGAAAGAGGATGTGTCCACCAGGGCCATCCCGGCGCGGCAGAGTCCACTGCCAACACTCAGTATTTCCCGTGGGGCCTCCAGCCCCAGTCGAGGAGGCAGACGCATCAGCTATAGGCGGCTACAGAGCTCAGTGGCCACCCTCCAGTCAGGGCATGGAGGCGCTTCATTTTAAGGCTTACTGAACCACACTGCAGCATAGTAATCAGAAACAGAAAACGTCAGAACCTATGGAACGAGCTTTTAGAATTGCTAGAATCTCTCCGGTTCAGAGCCCAAAGGTAAGACCGTCACGTGCGTCCCTGAGCACAGGTCAGCTGCGGCATGCCGCCAGGCCTGCTCGGACCGGCTGCACACATAGGGGATCTGTCCCTAAACAGTCTAGTTGAGGGGATGCTCTGGTCATCTACAATGTCCACGGTTCAGGATATTCTTATTTTAGACTGTATGTTTTGGGAAACTTTTCTGTATTTCCTAATAAATATACAGTGACTTTTAACATCTCCTACGTTAGTAAATAAAATAACCTAAAATAGACACGGTTCTCCCCAAATATTACGCTGCCCCACTGGAAGATGGAAAATGCATGCTCTGACCTCAGCTTTTGCCAACTGTCAAACAGCACCTTCCGTCTTTCCACTGCCCCTCCACCCCAGGGTCGATCAGCTGGAGTCCTCAAGGGGGACAGTGACCAGGGCCCTGTCTGCTGCGGGCTGTGCGCAGGCACACAACACCCACACAGAAGCAGCCACACGGAGTGAGGGCCTCCCCAGGAACACGGACCCTGTGCGCAGACACGCTTGCGGATACTGGAGCACACGCCGCTGTCGCCCTGCCTGGGACGCGCTTGCCACAGGAGAGGGTGCCCGTCCGGACTGTTTCCAGATCAACATCCAGTTTAAGGTGCACATGTTTTACCAAATACACAGCATGACTGGAACGTTACTGAGGAAAACAGCCCGGGGCTGGTCCTCCTGTCCTAAGGACCCCGTGAAGCCCACCATCTTGCGTGGGGACACTCGGGGCAGACTCAGTCACGATCCTCTGAGGCTTTGGAAAATGCACAAGAGGTTACGAGGTACTGAGGAAAACAAACAATGGATTTCACAGTACATACATTCTGGTGGAAGTCTGTTCTTTCTAAAAGCAAGTCTCTCAGTTTTCTTTCTGCTTTCTGCCAAGCTAAACAGCACTCCGTAAACATACTGGCGAACTGGCCTATAGAGCAGGGCGGCGGGAGGCAGGTCTTTGCTGGCTTCATCTTCAATAGAAACAGCAATTTTGATTTCACCCTTTGCATGGAAGAAAGCAGAATAATATTGCACATTTTTCATGTTGAATTTACAACAAACTCACAGAAATACACTGCATTATCTCCAGTTAACATTGCAATTCTATTCCAAATCATTTGCTTAACCACTTGCGTGCAGTGGGGTGTTAGGGAGAGTTCATTTAGTGGGTTGTCAAAACATATGCTCAAAGAGTCAAAATAAAATCTACATGGTTTCATCTTTAACCTGGAACCAAGAGCATAAGGAAACCACACAGACGAACCCGAAATCTTTGAAACAATCTGGACAGGTAAGAGCAGACAACAAATAGAATAGAAAATGCTGAGAACTTGCAAATTTTACTTATGAGTCAAGATGGTCATATGTAATGAAATTCATAATTTTTAATGACCTATGTGAAATCCAAGAAATGAGTATCCTGAAAATAAAACGGTCAAATTGTCCTTACCAAGCTCTTCCATAAAACGTTAGCATGTGCGTACATGGTCTCCCAAAGAGCAGCCCTGCAGCGTCCCTCATTCTGCACGATTTCAGCATGTGCCAGGACTCGGGAGACGTGCCTCCTGAATGAGGGGCATGCACAGCTGCTGGGGCAGACCTCGAAGGAAGGCCCACTTTGCTCACATCCCACGGCCAACATGGCACGAGACAAGGGGCTGGGCATCCACACCTGAGGTGGTGGCAAGACCTCTGTGGCCCCGTCTCCGACATTCTATGGCATCAAGGTACATCTCAAGAGATTTTGCAGGAACTTTATTTAGGAATGTTCATGACATAAGAGTATACATATGACCTTCAATGTCTGTTAAATTTATCACTACCTACTCTTTCAGTAATTCCCTGGCCTTTGCTCTTTCTTCACATAGATTTATGTCAGAGAGAGTGCGGTGGGCACTCTCTCCAGGTCCCTGGCTCAGCCGGCTGCCTGCGTGAGTGTGAAACTCTCGCCTCACTGAAGACACGTCGGCCTGACAATTTAATACCAGAGCCACGTAGCTCACAGCAAACAGCATGCCTGACACACTAAGCCTGCCCTGACATACAGAAAAATGGTAGGTGGCATTTTAAAATCTGAAGAGATAATCATTTACTTTTCTCAACCACAGTCACTTTATCAATATTTGCCCTTGAGATGAGGGAGTGGTGGAAGAGGACAGGCCGTCTGTCGCTCAGCCTGCCCCCGAGTAGACCACAGCGGCAGGGCAGAAGCGCAGGGGTCCAGGACCTCACAGCCCACACAACCCCACGGGGAAAGGGCGCAATCTCCCCCAAACCTAGGTCCCTTTAAACTCGGGAAATCCTTCTCCCGCGAGAGGAACTTTCCACTTACCCTTACAACATGCGTTGCCCCTGAAAAATAAAATGTTTACCTCACAACCGTAATCTGAAAAGTGATACCATACGTGCAGACCCGTATCAGAGTGCATGACACCTGGAGGCGACTGCGGTTTAAACATAAAACTCTGGGTGCCCTTGGACTGACACCGAGGGAGTGATGCTCGGGTCAGCCAGCTAACGGTCGCAGTCCGGCTCGGGGTGGTGTGGGGCAGGGGGGCTTGTGCACTTACTGACCCCACCTTACAAACCACAGATGGATTGCAGAAAACAGGGAGAAAAATGTCTGATTATCTGTGGGGGTACAGACACTGATGAAAACATGTTAAAAATACATGATGGCAATAAACCCATCCACATGAGAAATCTGGTCACCGAGGTTACATGTTAAATCGTGGGTCTAGGGCCATAAACATCAACAGAAAAGACTACAAGTCACTGAGAAAATTTAAATGGACACATAGATCCATTCGAGACACCAAGATTCAAAAACGATGCCACACTGGATATCTATTGAAGCATATGTTTGGTAAGACACTAATAAAGTGAAATCCTGATACTGTATAAACACAAAATCACATTTTCTGACTGTTAGCATGTCACACAGTCCTGTGTTCGATTTTCTGCTGAAGGGCTATAAACTGCACTCGACAAGTCCGAGGATGCAGAGCGCTGTCCGCCACTCCACAGGGGTGCTCTAGGACAGATGACAGAGAAGACAGGCAGTGCACGTGACAGCTAATTAAACCTCACACCATGGTATAAATATGGTACAGAAAATTTTAAAATTAGAAATGAAAATAAAATCACAAGTCAGAAAAATAACATGATGTGCGTTAATTACACATCTCAAAACTATCTCCTATCAAACCGAAGGGGAAAATAACTCTTTCCCACGTTCTTCTCTTTGTGCATTGACAGGTACGCATTTTTGCCTTTTCTCTCAACGTTTAGGAATGGGGAAATGCAGTCCGTTTCAGGTGCCTGGTCAGATGGAAAGCGGCCAGCCATACCTTTGTCAGGACGTGGAAGATGTAGGGGTACATCAGCCCCTTCTTGTGCCGATGCTCCGCCACTCTCAGTACCTCGGGCGCCACCGGGGGCAAGGGCGGTGTGGTGATGTCCATGTGGTTGCGGGTGGGCATGGACAGGAGGCACGGGATCGGCTGCACAGTGCCCATCTGGCTCCCCTTTCCTTCAGCAAGCTGGCTGCCCGAGGAGGCAGTGGATGAGCCTTCCGTCTGCAGAGCCACGGGTAACAGGGGAGAACGGGTCAGGTCAGGTTTCCACTCCTTTCACTGTGTGTCTTGTGCAGAGGACCTCTCCCCAAAGAGAGGGAGTGGGAGTGGCCCCCCGAGCCTGGGTGGGGGTGGGTGACCCCGCCACACTATTCCCAGGGGCCCCTAAGGTTGGGAGTGGCCTTCTGTGCTTGCTGACCCCCGGGCAGCCACCATGCCCCCCCTGCTCGCTGTGTGGAAACGGGAGGGGACGCTCAGAGACACTGTGTCACTGCCCAGGAACTTGCAGCACCGCGGCTCACACCCACTTCTCACCACCACAGCTGGCATTCAGAGAACAGACAGAGACCCAAACCCAGGTATTCTCTCTGGTCATAATAACGCCCCAAATTAAGTATACACAGGGAGCTGCTTACTAAAAAGTAAAGCTAAGAACAAGCTAATTCCATTAAAACTGACGAGTCAGATCCTTACATAATGACACAGAAATATGAATGTAGGATAGCATTAAGTGAAAAATACCCATCCTGTAACAACCAATCGCCAAAACATAGAATGTGCATAGCTGCAGAGGGAAGAGTGGGCCCCACGTGGGGCTCAGGGATGGAAGGCTGCAGGAAGCGGGCTGGGGAAAGGGAAGTCTGCAGAGGGACACCCTTCACTTTCTCTTTATGAATTTAGCGAAGTCCAAAGTGTTTACTGAGATCAATTATTATTTGCATAACAAACAGTTTTATTCTTTCTCATGATAAATGCTGGAAATAATAATTGCTTATTGCTCGATTTCGTGTCAATCTAAGGAATTTCTCTGTTTTGAAACAAAACATATTCTTTACAGTGGTATGTACTTAAGTGCTTAATTTTATCCTTTAAAACACAAAGTACCAAAACTGGCCTTAAAAAAAACTCAAGGATAATCCATAAGTGTTTTCTATACTCTCCATTCACAGAATATAGACACAAGCAGCTGAAAATTTTGGAAGATGCTTTGCAAATAACAGGCATCCACAAAGCATTCCTGTTGCTTATTCACAGGATGACCCTTCAACAGCGAGAGTGCTCCAGAGCCTTACATGAATTTCCGACATGGTGTCACCTTGTGTACAAACAAGCCCTCTTCCAGCGAGAGATGGGGCACATCCTAAGGTACCACGTGTGGGGACAGGCGTGGTTCTGCAGCAGAAAGCTATTGCTAGGGATCACTAGTAACAGGGAGAGGCAGATAAAAGGGGGAACGGAATGAACTTTACTTTCATTTTTAACGTGTACATTCGAAGTGATTCCTCATTCAATCCCCACAAAACCCTGCAGGAGATGAGGGCTCTGCAAGGCTCTAAGTCCTGACAAGAGTGTGTACCAGCGGATAGTAGGCCCCACCCAGCCTGTGGAAGACAGGAGCTGTCGCCTTCCCCTCCCCCGTGCGTCTGGGACCCCTCCCCCGCACTGACATCTGGGACCCCCTCCCCCACACTGATGTCTGGGACCCCTCTTCCCCCACACTGACGTCCAGGACCCCCTCCCCCGCAACAACATCTTGGACCCCCTCTCTCACACTGACGTCTGGGACCCCCTCCCCCGCAATGACATCTGGGACCCATCCCCCAGCCAATGTCCTTGACACCCCCCCCCGCCTGTATGTGACCCCCTTCCCCTCTCATCCCCAAAGTGTGTGACACCCCCTTGCCTTCCCACCCTCCCTGCCACCTGCCAGTGTCTATTACAACATGCTTTAAAAAAACAGCACTTAGCTTCAAACCAAGCCCTAACATCACATGCTCAAAAGAGTCAAGATCTGAAGGAATAAAAGCTGAACTACTACCTTTGTTTGGTCTCCTGGGTCTCCCCGAGCTTGCGGCTCCCCGTGGCTCCCCGTCTTGTCCCAGCCAATCTTGTTCCCACTGATGTGGCTGAACAGAAACAAAAGGAACACGGTAACCGATCAGCGTCTGCGTCCCATCACACCGGCCACGACAAGACAGCCTGCACCGAGCCCACAGACCGGCTCTACGGACCTCGGCTCCCCCAACAAACCCCCGCCAGAGAGAGCCCTGCACTGGGAACGCTTTCTGCTTGCTCAGTGGGGCAGTGACGCCACTCTCTAGAAAACACGGAGCACCGAACCCAGCACAGGGCCCAAAGAGGCCCGGGGACGACCATGGAGGGGACCGATGGAGGAGGCTCAGCCGTCGTGGAGACAGGATAAAATAATCCCACTGAACTGACAGCGACCAGGCAGGGGAGCGTTACATGTTATGTGGATCGAGTGTCACTCGTAATTCATACGGACACGTAAGCTATGAGGCGCTGAGAGACCGCACACGGGGCGCTCAGCCTGTTCTCAGAGACGCTGCAGGAGCACAGGTGAGGGAGACTCATCAGGGAAGCCAGAGGTGGGTTCAGAGAACAGACGGACAGCACAATCTCATTTGGGGAATAGCTTCAAGTGACAAAGCAGCAACTAGGGCCTGGAAAGGGATGGGGAAGAGCACGGAGGGGCTCACAGGCCAGAACGAGGCACGTCAGTCAGCAACTTGAAAACACTGTAGGTTGTGACCCATTAGCAGCTCAGGGAAACAATTCAGTGGGCTTAACCAGCATTTTTAAAAGATTTTATTTATTTATTTGAGACAGAGCGAGCAAGAGAGAGAGAACATGAGCAGGGGGAGGGGCAGAAGCAGGCTCCCACCGAGCAGGGAGCCCGACGCGGGGCTCGATCCCAGGACCCTGAGATCATGACCTGAGCCGAAGGCAGATGCTTCACCGACTGAGCCACCCAGTCACCCCTAACCAGCATTTTTTCAAGCATTTTAAAATGGAACAGAATGCAGTAAATGTGGGACACATGACATTATCGCATACATTTTTTCTTCACTTGTTATTATAGACCACAGCACAAAAGAAAGTTTACCGTAGTCCCGGGGCAAACTCGTGAAAAGCGCTACCCTGGAGGAAGCTGGGAATCTGGAGGTGCTGAGGCACAAGCCCACAGACGGGAGCCTTCCGTCGTCATCCCTCCCCACGCCAAAACCCGCTTCTAAAACCAACGCTGGCCACAAGGCCTGCCAGGGAAGAGCGCTTTTACCGGACTTGACTTTCTAACAGACCCACGGGACAGATGGAGATTTGTTAAGACCCACTAATTTCCCTGGGATGCCTGGGCAGCTCAGTGGGTTAAGAGTCCAACTTTTGATTTCGGCTCAAGTCATGATCTCAGGGTCCTGGGATCAACCCCGCATCGGCTCTGCAGTCAGCAGGGAGTCAGCGAGGAGTCTGCTTGTCCCTCTGCCACACCCCCACCCACCAGCTCATGAGTGTGTTCTCTCTCTCAAGCAAATAAATAAATCTTTAAAAAAAAAAAAAGACCCACGAATTTTCCTATCTTCCAACTGACTTCTTTTTAGTTGTTACCAAAACAAAACAGAACAAAACAAAAAAATGCAAAAAGGAGAGACGAGAAGCAGGCTGCCCATCATAAACCAAGGGTCGTGCCCCAAGTTGTGTCTCTCAGAGCCCATTTGGCTCCTCAGTCCCAGCCACGGGATGGGGCACCTGGACAGCTGCCCGGCGTCCAGGTTCCTGGTCATCAGCAAGGATGCAGAAAGCACTGCTCTGTCCAGGTCCGCTCCTCCTATGTGCCCCTTCAGCCCACAGCTTTGCCAAACCAGAAGGAGCCCTAGGGATGAGCTGCGGCACCACAGGACATGGAAGTACTCCGAGAGCATAACGATCATTCTGTTTAAACTCAAGAGAAAAGCAGCCATGGTGGAGGAGAGGCTACAGCAGGGCTCAGGATGTGAGCCCACAGACCCTACACCTGAGTGGGAGACGGAGAGGACAGCCCCACCACACATGTAGAGTGCACATTCCGAGCACTGGGAAGCAAAAGTTGGCAGCACTGAAGTGTCTAGAACACGGCACAAACAGAGCTGCCTACGTACTTTTTCACTAAGAAGTCAGTGACCTTTATTTAGTGAAACTTTGGAACAAATTACTTAAATGCTTACAAGTTTGGTTTTTTTTTAAAGATTTTATTTTCTGATAGAGACACGGCGAGAAAGGGAACACAAGCAGGGGGAGTGGGAGAGGGAGAAGCAGGCTTCCCGCGGAGCAGGGAGCCCGACGCGGGGCTCGATCCCAGGACCCTGGGATCATGACCTGAGCCGAAGGCAGACACTTAACGACTGAGCCACCCATGTGCCCAAGTGCTTACAAATTTTATAGAGAGATATAACATCCATTAATTACTATTTTAAACAATTAGGTATAACATACCTGTAAAAAAAACTGCATGAGTTACAAGTGAACAGCTTAATGGGTGGCCACAATTTGAGCACAGGTGTGGGCAGCCAAACTGAGACAGGGCTGACGCACCAGGCGGCCCCTCCTTGCCCCGATCCAGACCTCCTCCCCAAGGACATTGGCTGCTTTACTTCTAACAGCAAACACAGCCTTCCCTGGGCTCGAGCGCCACAAAATTGGAACGGTGCAACTGTGCACTTCTGTGGCCTGCGGTTTGGACTCAGCCATCTTCCTGGCCGCCATGCTGGTTCAGCCTCCCTGCTGGACGTGCTCCAGGGAGAGCACGCCACCATCAGGGCTACAGTCCAGCCCACAAGACATCCCAGGAGCTCCCACCCTTGACACGCTGGGTCTCCTGTGGTGCCCATCTCAGCCTTTCTCGGGATGTGGTGACCCCCACATGGTCTCGTCTGCATTTCCCTGATGACGAAGGAGATGAGCACCTCTCCACGTGTGACATCTTCTCTTGGGGCTGCCTGTACAAATAATCCATACGCTTTCTCCATTGCAGAAAACGTGCAAAATGTTCTTCTTAAGACTTCTAGGAAGTCCCCTATTCTGGATACAAGTCCTTGGTGAGGCAGAGGGATCTACACTCTGGTGGACTTTCAGCTCCTTTCTTCATGACAGACAGGTTCTTATTTGTGATGCCTCATCTTGCAGGCCCTGGCAGCCACGTCACCTCAGTGCAGGCTTCCCTACCCGCCCGTCTCTGCTATTCTCACAGCCGTGTTGCTCACAGCATGCGTCACATTGGCACTGAATTACTGTCCATCTCCATCACTCAATTATACGTTCCACGAAGATAAGCACTCACAGCCACTGCCGAGCTGGAGCCCAGTGGCTAAAGGAACGAATCATGTAACTGCAGCCTAAAGGTGTAAGGTGAAGACAGCATAAACCTGACTTCTCCTCCATGCGACACAAAGCTCAACACGGGGACTCGTTACACATGCAGCCCTGTAAGCACGTGGACCTCATGAGATGGGCCCCAGGGCAGCGAGCACCCAAGCAGAGTGGTTACCAAATTAACAGTAATGTCATAATCTAGATGATCTCACAGTCTCCTAATAATCATACTATAAAACCTGAAATTCTGCCTGAAAGGCATCTTGACAATAGCCAGTTTCTCTGAAGTGCTGAACATCTCACTAGGATGACTGTGTCACTTCACAACGTGAAACAAGCTATTAGCATACGACAGATGCCTTGCCTTGAAGAACACACAGTGGGTTTCACTCCCCACAACTCCTCAGAACGGCATCCTGTCGCCGGCCACGCCCTGGAGAGACCTGCTGGGCCCCACACAGGCCACAGGAAGCCCGCATGCTCATGCCAAATCCTGCTGACAGGAGTCAGGCTCAGGAAGAAGGGACCCACGCACGGCAGAGGGGCTGTACGCAGCCATCAACATACCCAGGACGGTGGTGAGGACGAAGGCCAGCACCACACCACTGGGCTCTGTGGGCCTCACTCTGCGGGTGGACACTTGGGGCCATCCTGCACCAGAGCTTGCGGGAGACAGCACAGCACCCTTCCCACTGGGTTCCCTCCTCCACTCGGGTCCAGTCGGCGGGATGGGGGTTCTGGGGTGCGTGCGCACCACGGGGGAGGGCGGCTGGCCCACCACACTGACTTCTCACTCCCACCCCCACTACACGGGAGTAGGCTGCCCTGACGGGGCACTGACCACGAGCTGACTGACTTGTCAACAGCAAAGAAACGGCAAAGGCAAATGAAACCAGATGGGAAACAACAAAACAGGAGAGAAAGATAAAAGATCCAATCTCCAGCGGAAGTATCCAGTGTGCACGGGAAGCCACAGATGTGGTCCGTGAGTGCAGACGGCCTGCAACAAGCGCGAGTAGTACATTTTCACATCTGTGTGCTCCCCAGCTCACGGTAGGAGGAGCCTGGATGCACACCTGTCCCCGCCGCAGACCTGCAGAGCTCTGAGGCCCGCAGCCAGGGGCTCCCACCGCAGAGCAGAGGGCGCGGCTCCGGCACAGGGGAGCTGGGAGCTGGACCCACGACACTGCAGCAGGTGCAGTCTCCTTAGGCTCCGATTTAAGCTCATGTCACATGCTCAGGCTTCCTCACAAGAAGCTGGGAACAGAGGAGGTGGTGGTCCAATTCCCACGCAGCAGCCAGATGGGGTTGGCGTCCGCGTGCGCCTCTCGCGCATTTGCCAGGACTTCTCACACCTCTCCCCCCACGAGGGAGGGCGCCAACACCTAAGAGAGGCAGACGAGCTCCACACAAAATGCCCACCCGGGTCTTTGCACGGCCAGGACACATGCAGACCCCCTCCTGCGATGGCACAGAAGTTTATCAAATCTTACCGACACAGAAAAGTACCTCAGGATTATTGCTACGAGGAGACAGAAGGTTTGCTACCTGTCTGGCACCACACGGAGCGCAGGGCTCTGGAAGGAAGAACCCACGGCCGTGTTCAGCCTGTCCGGGGCCGGGAGCCGCCGGGCCGGGGAAGGCGTGGTTCTCTCTGTGAACCCCCGTGCCTTTGGGAAAGGAGCCCGAAAGGACACAGGGTAGAAGCCCAACAGCCCAACAGCACCACCGTTTCATGGCAAAAGGTGCACTGGAAGCACATCCCCTGGGCCACCAGGTTCTTCAGGGTCTCTGGCATGGACGCAGCGCTCTGACACCACGGGACACTGTCTATCACTTCCTGAGCTCACGCACCAGCTGATTCGCTTCACAAACAACCCAGACGCTTCCCATCCACGCCCAGCGCAGCATGACCTGCCACGGGAGGCCGGGGCCTGAGTCCTCACACGGGTGCACAGGCCCTTGGGCTCCGATGGGGACCTTCCACAGCCCAGATCCAGTCCCACAGGGTCCATAGCGGGTCTACACCCGACAGATGCTGCCTGGACCCAGTACCCGCACCCACGTGCACGGGAACAAGAAACAGCAATCCACACAAACGACCCCACAGAGCATACAACTTACATTCACGTTCCCTCCCAACGGACTTTCCGACGTCCACTTAGAAGCGTCAGTGATGACAGCCAAACACAGAGGCAACACGCGGTGCAAGCACACTCCCGCACACAGGTACCCACACACCCTGACGTAAGCACACTGCGTGTACAGCAGCCTCTGAGGCCCCGGGACTCCTGGGCCAGCAGGGACGCAGACGGGGCTCATGAGGACCCCTGAGGGCAACAGCCCCGGCCTCCCACCCCAGCTCCAGGGCCAAGATGCCGCTGAGGTATTCAAGCAGGCGGGAATAGGGGCAGGCCTACCAAGCATGGCGGGCATCTCACTCACACTCTCACACACACACACACACACACACCGAGCATGCCCAGCATCTCACTCACACACACACACACACACACACAGACACACACACACACACACCGAGCATGCCTGACACCCCTCTCTCTCTCTCTCTCACACACACACACACACATGAACCTGGGCGGCAGGCAGGAGGCAAGTTCCTGCCTCAGGACTCCCGAGACACCCTCTCCCGTGAGCACACACTCGTAGGGCTCCCACTTTCCCCACTGTCCACATTCAGGGCACAGAGCACACCTCATGCTCACCTCGGCGCAGGGTGCCGCGCTCCAGGGAACGTGCCAGGAGAGCCAAGATCTTGCATCTACTGAACTTTAAAAGTATGTGTTTGTGGGCGCCTGGGTGGCTCAGTCGGTTGAGCGACTGCCTTCGGCTCAGGTCATGATCCCGGAGTCCCGGGATCGAGTCCCGCATCGGGCTCCCTGCTCGGCAGGGAGTCTCCTTCTCCCTCTGACCCTCCTCCCTCTCATGCTCTCTCTATCTCATTCTCTCTCGCAAATAAATAAATAAATAAATAGATAGATAGATAGATAGATAGATAGATAGATAGATAGATAGATAGATAGATAAATGTGTTTGCCAACTTTATGTTTCACAAAAATGTACTTTGTTATGTTTTAACATTCCTTTTCTTTTTTTTAAAGGAAGAGCGAACATCCTTTTATGCTTCCTGACCATCTGTGTTTTTTCTGTGAACTGCACATTTATGTTCTTTGCTACTTAAAATACTTGTCTTTTTCACTTGTAGGATGCTTTGAGGGAGAGGAGAGGTCAATTCACTTTCATTCAGTAATGGTCCTGTCACCTACCAGCACCATCCTTTAAAAGCATGCCACCGACACAGACCATGCCAGCCTGAGCCCGTGCCTGGTCTGCGCTACCTGTCGCCGTGCTCACAGAGCACCGCGAGCGCTCGGGTCGTGCCGGGCTAAATGCACCTCCTTCCCCCAAGACCGTCCTGAGGGCAGCCGCAGGTCCAGAGCTCCCGACTCAGATCCAAACCAAAGGTAAAGCAGGTCACGCCTTCCTGCTCCAGCTGAGTTTCTGAGCCAGTAGGGTGAAACCCTGTCCTGCGCACAGCAAGGCCCCGGGTCCTGCTCTGCCTGGCGTACGGCCCCAGAGCTTCTCCCTTCCCGCCCTCCTCTCTGTTTTAACATGTCTGCTGATCATGATAAACGGGGATTCAAGGACACTAAAGTGTTGATAGGCCCACAAGCCTACCCAATGTCTGGATCTGAGGCTTCACCACACTTCCCATCACCCCACACACGAGCCCACCTTCCGACAGCTCCTCCAGAGAGCACCGTGAAAGCACCAAGGCGGGGCAGAGCCAGAGAGGCGACGAGGCCTGAGCCTTTGGGGACAGGGCAGAGCTGAGGGTACACAAGAGAAGCGAGGGGCCCTCCAGCAATTACCACCCCCACAGGGTGGCTGGCCAAGCTAGGTGGGGGACCGCTGCAGGCAGCTCAGGGCCTGGGCACACGGCACACCCCCTCCTGCTTTGGGCCTTGCTCCCAGCTGCCTAGGAAAAGCATCCCTCGCTAGACCAAACATGTGCCACACAGACATCTTCGGCATGCTGGCGCGAGGTGATTTTCAACAGACAATACTCAGTGCCTTCGAATTCCAGAGGGGAAGAGCTTCTGGGATGTGACCAGCTGTTCTCGTTTGCACACGAGCCTGGACCCCGGCCCAGAGTCACACCCAGTACATCTTTACTATACTCCCTTTCCAGAAGGTTAACTCAGAAGTGTAAATGCAAAGGTACAACCTGTGATTCACCTTGGGATTGCAGAACTGCAACACCACGATAATCGCTTACATACAGAGTTATGCTCCACCATTCCGTGGAGCACACAGCCATGCATGGCAGCAAAGCCCTCTGTAGCTCCGCCCAAGGTCAGCAGACACTCGCGCCCACTCCACAGAGGAGGAGAGGGGACGTCTGGCCTCAGGCTCTACGCTCACCGAGCATTCGCAGAAGACGAGAAACCATCTCCATCGATGGAGCACCACGGGGCCCTGGCCATCCAGCCACAAGCCAGGGAGCAACGAGGAAGAGGAGACACAGCAGTATGGTAGGCCCTTGCTTTTCCCCATTTCTTCCCGTTTGTGAATCAGGTTTCTTAAAACAACGGTATTTGACAGGAGGAGGAAGATAGTGGATTTAAGACTTTCTTGATCAGATTCTAACAAACTACATATTTGAAAATTCATTTACTCAGGGACACACATTTAAAATACTCCTCTCCAGTTCCAACCCGGATTGCAGCTTTCTCTGGTTCCGGTCAGGTAAACAGCGTGATTTCAGGAATGGTCTACAAGCTGCTGAGTTGAGATGTGAGTTGCTAGATTCAATTCAGGAGAGGAGATTCAGAGTTCCCCTTGATCCAGGAGCCAAGACTGAAAGCCACCAGCGTCTAACTTAAAATGCTTTCTGCGGGGGGGACTGGGGTCTCACAGCCTAGGGGAGAGTAAGGGTCAGCAGCAATTGACCAGATAACTTCACCACATCTAAGGGTCACACAAACCAATTTTCCCAAAACTCCACCCCAGCAGAGGAGTGGCCCAAGCCCGCACGCGGCTGGAACGGTGCGGATTTTCAGCCCGGGAAGCCGTGAGGAGGTGTCTCACCTCTGCTCCTCATCTCCAAGAAGCCCGAGTCTGTGCGCAGAGATGTCACCTTCCTACCACAAATGACAGCTCTCTCTGCACACAACTCTCGGCCGCCAGAGGATGGAAGGCAGCTTCCCGGGAGACCGAGCTATGTGACGGGCCTCACGCAGCCGACACAAGTCTGTAAGCACCAGCTACACCGCACCCACTCACTTTGCAGCTGCTCCACCACCTTCATCGTTGTCGGAAGACGACGGCGTAGAAGACCCTGGAAAGTACGCTGAGTCCACATGGTTGGGGCTGCCGCCTGGAGCCGGGTGGATCGGGGATGACCGTTCGTACAGCGGGGTATGCTTTCCTTCGTGAGGAATGTTGCTGTAGGTGCTGTGCTCAGTCAGACTCTTTCCACTCGTTTCCACAGTGAGGGCCGGCTCAGCGAGGCTGTACGGGTGTGGACCTTGGCCCGCAGCACCTGGGCTGGGCACCTGTGGGGCCTGGAACAGAGGGCAGAGGTCACGCGCGCACTCGAGGCCCGCAGCACCCAGCTCCCGTCGCAACGCCTGGTCCTGGCTGCGTCTTAACTCAAGAAACACTGGCACTTGCTTCACGTATCAGCTCAACGGCCTAAAAAATTATTTTAGCTTTTGTTAAAACCTGATGTGTATGCAGCAAGCCCCAAGGCAGGCAGACCAGCTGCGGGAGGGGGAAGAGGGCCTTACCACAGGCTTTGCTTGCAGAGGGGTCTGCGGAATGTTGAGCATCTGGGGGGGGACGTACGGCGGCATGATCCCAGGCATTCCAAACGGATTTGGTCTGGCTGTTTCATCGACAAGGAAAGACAGTGGTACACGGGTTAGCAGAGGACATGCCCCAGACACCAAGTGGCCAGCACATGCCCCCACCTGCCCTGCCCCCTCAGGTGACAAGACACCACCAATCCCCACCTTCAGAAATTCATGTTTCACATCAAAAAATACTTCATTTTATGGTGATCTACTTGTAGACTGGGCCTAGGATTTTAACTTACAGGCGTTTGGGCCACCCTCTCTCTGCCCCTGCCGGCCTCTCAAAGCCCTAAGACTGCAGGCGCTGAAGGGACAAAGCAGAGACAGATACTTCCCCTCGCGTAAGGGAGGCAACGGAATCTTCCTGTTGAGACTAAAATTCAGTTCTTGGCTATTAAACAGAAACAGCGACGTGTGGAAGTTGCTACCGGTACCTCTCAGTTTTCCACTGCGAAGCAGAACCACGATGGGGCTGCTCGTACCAATGCGTGTTGCGGGGCCAGTTACCTGGCATTCTGTGCTCTCAGAACGTGACTCTCTAAACCTGCTCTGACGGACGCCGCACTCGCTCGGCTGCCCCGTGCTGACAGGAGCGAGCGCAGCCGGGACAGAAGCAGCTCTGGACACACACCAAGACCAGGCCACGTGCCAAGACAGGACGCAGAGCCATGAGCCGGCACAACACGTGGTGATGAGGCCTGTGGCCTCAGGATCAGAACACCTCCAAATGCCACAAACCAGTTACTAACGCAATAAAAATAGGAAGGAGACCCTTTGTGGCTTTGCTCCACTGAACAGTCAGGGGTGGGGCACCTGTGAGGTGAGGCCGCAAGGCCGGGCCTGGGGCACCTGAGCCCCAAATGTTCCCACGACCCAGATGGTGGGAACAGACAGCAGACATGGGGGCCGCAGAGCCACACGATCTCCTCCTTAGGCTTCTTTTAGAAACTGAGCAAAACCAAGCCTAGAGACCCCTGAACGCCAACATCCTTTACCAGGAAAAGTGTTCCTCCAACTTCAGAATCTGGGCGACTCAAGGCCAAACAAGGAGCCCCAACACTTGCCAAGATAAACACATTTAAATAAAAATAGTACTAAAGCACCCCAAAACCCAAGCCCTCCCTCTCATTCTCTGAAAGAAAATTCCCACTGGTATGTAAGCTGAGCTTCCAGAGCCACCCAGTCCTGGTGGAGCCAGGAGGGAGGGGCAGCGGCTCACTTCCCCCCACCCAACAAGGACCCACGCGCCTGGAAGCCACAGCCGGCTTGCAAGAGCCCGACTCCAAGTGCCCGGCACACGCCCGCACTGAGAGGAGCTGGGGGCAGGACTCCCACAGCTGTGGGGCGAGTAACTGGGAACGGTGACGCTGGCGCACACACACTCACATGCTCACCACATGCAAAACACACGCACACGCACGCACTGACCACACATACATGTGTGTACACACGTGTTCACTACACTCACCATACTCACCCCAGAGACACGCACGCTCATTCACCACATGCACGTACACACAGCCGCACGTGCACGTTCCCCACAGCTGTGCATTCATGACACACGCACGCATTCACACCTATACGTGCCCCCCACGCACACGTTCATTACATACGTGCACTCACCCACATGCCCATGCGTGACATGTACTGCACACGTGTGTGCATTCACCCCCAATACACACGCACACATGTTCGCCACACATACACATAAACAAACCCCACGTACCTACACACGTGTGTACACATGCAAACACAGAGGGAAACACTCCTGATCAAATACTTCAGACCCAGGAGATCAGAACCTGCGAGTCTGAGACATAAGATGCTGTAACTGGTTCAGTTCCTTCTCAGGAGATTCTGAATCGTATCCAGAACACTAGGAACTCCATTCAAGCTCTAACAGTACAATTTAAGTCACCATGAGAAGCGCAGTTTTCAACCTCTTGTGGCTGACCCGCCCCACCGAACTTCTGAGCAACCACACGGAATGTCGGCCATGCCAATTAGCAGCATTCCAGGGAAGGGGATCCTTTTGTCTCTATTTTGGGCCATTATGTGCTACAAAGTTCCTGAAAAGCACAAGCTTCTTTAAAAACAAAAATAAACTGTAACTTAAAAGCAAAGATTTCCAAAGAAAGAACATTTTCTAAAATTACATTGTAATCACCAACGTCAAATAAAAAAACCTTCGAGAACCTACAAAGCTAGTTACTAATCTATCAGAACCTAGTCCAGTAAGTGAATTAATCTGTCTGTACTTCTGTGAAGGCTGGAGGACGGCCCAGCAAGCCAGGCCAGCCTCTGGATGCGGCGCACCTCCCTGTGCTCGAGTTCTGGTTGTCACTGCCCTCGAGCCAATAAGCAGAGCACTGGGTGCCATGTGACAAGGCCGTCTTTCTCGGGACTGACCCTGGCTCGCGTGTGGAGGTTAACACCGCCAACCTGTCACTCTCCTCCATTCACAGACACTCTCCTGAGAGAAGGGCGGTTGTCAGCAGACTATGCAGACGGAGACAGACGAGTGGAAACAGTGTTTAATCACTATATGAAAAATATTTTCACAATTAAAAAAATTTTCAGACTTCTTTGTGAATGATGAGAAAAGCACACGCATGGCAGCCTGACAGCTACGCTAAGTTAGCAGCGCTGTGGGCAAGACGCTGCCCAGCACCCACTGCCTCAGTTACCCACTGCGCCCCCGGGGACCTGCTCAGCCATTCCCTGAAGTAAGAGAAGACACATCATAACCAAGAATGGCGTTGACCAAGAAGCTTTGCTGAGAACCAGTCGGCCTACCCATGCCCCAGCCGCCTAGCACAGACTCATCTACCACCAGGCATTTAGCTGCAGAGACGTTAGGCCAACCAAACAAATGAGTACCAAAGTCATGAACTCTTAAAATTCTCTAATGCCAATGGATGCATGATTTTCAGGTGTTGTACAAAAAACATAGCTTTGAAAATTCAGATTCAAAGAACAAGTCAATATGTTCCCTACCACCAATACTCATTTTCAACACCTATAAGGTCAAATTTTCCAACGACATTAACTGTATTGAAATGGATGTATTTACTCAGCACTGATATTGTACAGAAGTGAAGACACAAAGCCACATGAAGAATCTTGTGTAACTTGCTTCCATCGTCTTCCAGATGAGTAGCTTCCGAAGGCAGGCCACAGGCCAAAGATGGTGAAGGCAGAAGCAGGAGGAGAGGAAGTCGGCCAGCTTTGAGGGGCTGAACCTGGTCACTTTCCAGGAGCACCAGCTCCCGGGGGCTCAGAGCTGGCACACCCACACAGCCAGGCCCCCCAAGAGGAGCCAGAGGCCGCCATCTGCAGAGAAGCATGGGCAGGCTGAGTGCAGGGCTGAGAATCAAGCAAGTAAGCACCTGACAGAACCACAGACCCTGGGGAAGCACACTCAGGCCAGCAGGAGTAAGAACTCCGGGAACTGGAGCAGTTCACCATGACGAGGGCAGCCTTCCTGATCGTGGGACTGTGGGCACAGAGCAGCCCATGGCTGGGAGCCAGCGGGCTGCTCCCCCAGCACCTCTACCACCACAGAGACTGGACAGCGCACGTGGACCTCATGGTGCAGCATCACTCAAGCCCACACAGCACCCGAGTCTTCAAGAGCAGAAGCTGACGAGCGACGGATGCACCCAAGTTGTATCCAAATCTGTCGAGCTCCCGGCTCGCTCACGCCGAGCCAGAACGGCGCAGTCCCACAGCAAAGGATGCCGTGCACATGGGCTGGCAGAGATGGGGAGCAGGAAGGAGCACCAATGCCTCACGTGGCTGCCCACGTGGCTTCGTGAGCCCAACACAACAAGTCAGTCTCTGTCCGCTGTGGATTTCGGAAATGCACAACCTGCAGGGAGAGTCCCTGCCAACTGAAGTGGCCATGCCCTTTTGTCACCACGCCCTGAGAAGCAGCCAACAGACCTGACGATGAGCTGGTCATCCTGCAAAGACACCTTGTCGAATGGCTGCCAAGTTACCCCAAAGTGACTGATGGTTCAGGTGTTTTTTAAAAAACGACCTTTCAAAAAGCCATGAGACCAGACAGGCTGTATCACTTCACAGTACATGGACCAAAATAAACTCCCAAAAATCTTAATGAAAGGTCATGGGAACACATGTCGAGCCTGAGGATGATGTTCAGGAATCGAAAGGGAGGGAGGGGCGCCTGGGTGGCTCAGCTGTTAAGCAGCTGCCTTCGGCTCAGGTCATGATCCCAGGGTCCTGGGATCGAGCCCCGCATCGGGCTCCCTGCTCCGTGGGGGGCCTGCTTCTCCCTCTCCCACTCCCCCTGCTTGTGTTCCCTCTCTCGCTGTGTCTCTCTCTGTCAAATAAACAAAATCTTTTAAAAAAATAAAAGTATTGGGGCGCCTGGGTGGCTCAGTCGTTAAGCGTCTGCCTTCGGCTCAGGTCATGATCCCAGGGTCCTGGGATCAAGCCCCGCATCGGGCTCCCTGCTCGGCGGGAAGCCTGCTTCTCCCTCTCCCACTCCCCCTGCTTGTGTTCCCTCTCTCGCTGTGTCTCTCTCTGTCAAATAAATAAATAAAATTTAAAAAAAAAAAGAAAGGGAGGGAGATGAAGCTGACCTTCTGCTCCACGTGAGAGCGCCGTGGCTTCTCTCTGGCAGAGTTGACTTAGACCCTGGGGCCTGACATCAGTACCATGTGCTCCAGCTTCAGATAAAAATGGGAACAGACGGACACACAGACACATCTCCAAAACCAGCAAGGGCAGAATGACACGCACAATACAGCCCCCGATGATCCCACACATACAAGGTAAGAAAACAAAGAAACCTGTTTGAGGGGACAGATGGGACCTTCAGAAAAGCCTAATGAATTTCTTTAAAGAAGGCAAGATGTGAAACAAACACTACCATTTGCTGACCCTGTTCTGTGGGCACATCGCTGCTCGTGACGCTGCCCTGTACTGACAGTTATATTTGAAGCTTTTCCACAATAGAAAAGCTTAAGCAGACACCACGGAAATGGTGGCTTTAGTAAGCAGAACT